AATTTCCCCTGGGGAACAATACAAATCATCATGTATCATACTGTATCATATCATATTATATCATATTATATCATATCATATCATATTATATCATATCATATTATATCATATTATATCATATTATATCATATCATATCATATTATATCATATCGCATCGTTTAGCCACTATAGCCTGATATTTGTGCTTCAAATAAGATATGGAAGTAAGCCTTCCGTAAGTATTCCTTTTTTTTATTTGCTCCAACCTCTGTTGGACAACTCTGGGGCTGCAGCTCAAAGAACAACTGCAGAACTTTTTAAATCACAATATCACAGCTAATGGTTTGTAAAAGCTAATGTCAAAATTATAATTTCATGTCTGTAAAACAGAAAAAAACAAAGAGGTGGATTTTCGGTAATATTAAATTGAGTTTTTGGCTATTTACTTAACAAAATCAGAAAATGTCCTTTAGAGTAAGTAGTGAAGAGATGAAGTCCTGCATTCATAACTTTGTTGATGTAATAGGCTATATTGCTGAACAATGAGAACAATCTCCTATTATACTGAATGGCTTAAAAATAATTAATAATATGTATTTAACAATAATAACATCCGTACAAATTGAATAGTTTTGCAAAAATAGCAAATTCCACCTTTTGTTGTGATGTCAAACTCATGTTACATTTCACTGTTATTGCTGTTATGTCATACAACATTTGACAGGAAAATATTTATTGTTCCATGAAATTAGTTATTTCAAAGATTTAGGTTATTTAGCCGGAGAATTAAAAACTTGCAAGGAACTTTTTATGTCACTATTTCTCTGTGAGCTGAGCAGCCCTTAAGGTCTGATCCTTTTCCCCTGACTGATAGTATGTCAGGTTCTCTCTTCCTGACCGAGATGTTGGCTTTTGTATGTTTGGATTATGAATTCAGTCTCCCCCAAAATGTTGAACTGGCCCTTTAATATTTGGGTTACATTTAAAATACATCTTTTCGACATCAGGTTGTGTAATGGTATGAGTGCTTGTGTAATTGCTGTGCGAGGGTGTTTGTTTTTACAAGAGTTTATGTTTTCATTACTACCCTACTTATATAACTCTCCGACTACAACGAAGTGAAGTTGGCTCATTTGTAGCTGTGACAGAAAACAAAGACAAACCGCATCAAAAGAATGCAAATTCTACTCCACAAACTATTGTTAGAGTTTGGAGGGAAATTGCCGTTACTCTATGAAATATTATTTTGCTTTCAAGCATGGCCGAGCATGACTGTGAATCCATTCAACGCAGCTTCAATCCTGCAGAAATAATTTCCTTTCCAAATGAATGAGTGTTTTTATATTGACTGTGGATAAATCAGACAATAAACAACCAGTCTTTTGCCAGAGCACACTCAGTGCACCAGGCTATTATTCTCTTAATTTATGTGTTAAAAAAGAGAAGTCAGCGTTTGATTACATCATTATATCATAATTCTCCAATGTGTGTGTGTGTGTGTGTGTGTGCGTGTGTGTGTGTGTGTGTGTGCACCTGTGTGTGTGCGTGTGTGTGTGTGTGTGTGTGTGCGTGTGTGTGTGCACCTGTGTGTGTGCGTGTGTGCGTGTGTGTGTGTGTGCGTGTGTGTGTGTTTGTGTGTGTGTATGAGAGTGAGTGGGAAACAGGAGTTCTCGTAGAAAGCAGCAGAGAGGGGGAGAGAGATCTGAAGTTCTTTTTTTCACGGAATACAGTTTCTATCCCACTCCTGCGAGCGAGGCTTAGGGGACCGCACTCTCCATGGACTCTCTCTGTGTGCCAGACTTCACTGGGTTTAGCACAAGAAGCACAACTTATTGGATTACGGGGTCCACCGTGCTCATTTTGCTGGGGGCTGTGAATGTGTGTGCGTATGTGCGGGGGTTTACATGGGTGGGCAGCTGGTGAACCGAGGGAGGGATGGAGTGGTAAATACATGATAAAGTCATATTAGCTGTCCTGTTTGATATGCAGAACTTCTAATAGAGCTGTGCCTCTTCATGTTTAGAGGTTAGAAATTTAAGCAGGCCAGTGGGGTGGCCGACAGTAAATGTAGCAGGACTGTGAAAGCTCTTCTTGTTTCACGTGGATTTAACTGCACCTGTTTCATTTCAATCCTCGGGAAGTGCATCTGCATGGACAGGATAAGGTTTTGGCTCAAATCCTTGGTTAGATGAACTCTCTGCTGATGATATAACTCTCCATAATTGTCTGCAAACAGAACAGACACAGATTCACAGTGGAGTGATGTACTGGAACAAAAAAACTGTGTGTGTGTGTGTGTGTGTGTGTGTGTGTGTGTGTGTGTGTGTGTGTGTGTGTGTGTGTGTGGGGTGTGTGTGTGTGTGTGTGTGTGTGTGTGTGTGTGTGTGTGTGGTGTGGGTGTGGGTGTGGGTGTGGGTGTGGGTGTGTGTGTGTCCTTGGTGCCTATTGGATGTAGTAACCCTGCTCACCCCTTCACAGATTTCAGTCCAGGCAGTGTTGGATGTTCTGTTTAGCAGCTGACTTTAATCTTTCTCTCTGTTTTCTCATATTGCCCTCTTTTGTTTTTTTTTAGACCCTCTTTTAATGCAATATTTACAAAAGCTTGAATCACCAAATGCTGTTTCTATAGCTGTGCTGCTTTCATTTTCATTAATACTTGAAAACAGAAGTACGGGAGGCAACAAATGGGTTTCTGTCCTGCTGTGTGGCATGTCAGGCATGCTCTGATGGTGGATGTGCCCTTTTCCTGAGCAGGTTACTTAGCGAGATGAAGAATAATAGAAGCTGTGAGGCATCCTTGCATTAGCCTCTTCATTATTTATTCTGCAGCACGAGACATCGGAAGCATGCAGGGCCAGAGCAGCTAAAAAGGCTCCCTGCTTGGAGAGAGGGAGTAATCATAGCAGTTTCACAGTGTTACACATGGTGACACTAATATTGATGCTGCCTCTGTTCTCATTATTGCAATGTGTGTCTAACATGAGTTTATGTTTATGACTTGAAGGACATCTTGGATTTACAACTGATTATTGTAAAAGAGACAAGAATCCATTTGTCTCTCAATGTGAAAGTTTAAATGCAGAGATTCAGGCGTCGTGAAAATGATGTGCTGGCTTTGTTCCACCTACGTACTGGAGACTCTTTGAGGGCCTGAGTGACGGCCTCCCTCTGCCAGAAGCGACGTCTTCATCCCAGTGGCATTCCACCTTAAAAAAGATGAATATATGTGCCCAACTGGCTCCCTGACATTGACACACCGTGACTCACGCTGCCGTGCTATTTCAGTATGGCTGCTGGCAAGCCCAGCCCTTCTGTAGCCTCTCCCTTCCCTGTTTCGGTCGTTTGTTTGCCTCTCCTGCTTGGCTGTTTACTTGTAATTTGGACATCTGTCAAGGTATTTTGTTTGCAACCCTGTGGTGTGATTACGCTACCTTTTGCCAAATCTGGAGAGATGGATGGGGTTATACCAAATCTTGGCTGCAGAGACAAAGGCCAGACTTTGGCTTTCCTCTTCATCTACTCAGTTTAGAGGGATAATTAAGAAATCGTTGGGTGACAAGAAGAGCGCCGGGATTCAGAGGTCACAGATGTATTCATCGGGCTTGTTCACACTCACCCTCCTGCAGTGTTAATGGTGACATTGTGCGGCGTCCCGGTACTGTCTGTGTGGTCCCTCCCTGGCCTGTCTCACAGTCTGTTCAGTGCAGCATTTTCGATGCCAGGACCTCCTCCTACACCAAGGGGGGGGGGGGGGGGGGCAATTAAACACCTGCTGGGAAAGCAGCCACACACACACCTTAACAGTTGCAGTATCGCTCATGAACACATTCATCCACAGATTTATGGATTGGTGTCAGTCAATGAAAATATCCAACCTGCAAACACCCAGTGTACAAAAATAAAACAGGGGACGAGCTGGTGCTGATTTGCTCTCTGATCATGTTTCATCGTGAGCGTTTCTAATTTGTTCATCTCCTTAATGAACACTATTGGCAGGATTGCATTAACCCAGCACTTAAGTTTGCTAATGGCTAACGTCATGCTCCACGCTCACATCCCATACTGTAGACTCTCCCACAATCACTGCTGAATAATTCCACCGGCACATCTAGCTTCATTAAACATGTCTGTCTTTGGATCATCAGCCACAGAGAGATTTTATACATTAAAAAAAAATAAAAAAATCTGATGAATAAAGCTGTTAAACATCCCAATCAAAACTCTGCATTTGGTTAAATTAATTTTGGTTGATAAAAGTTGTTAAATTGTAGGCTGGTTCAAATAACTCAAAGTGTTTTTATGATTTCCTTTATAATCTAATAAATCCTTATTTATAGCCTGAACACTGCAGTAGTTGCAATACTTGCTCTGCAGTTCGCAGCTCTGTCACTGTGTTGGCACAAATCAACAAACGTCACATTGTGCTGCGTCTTTCTGTAAACAACAGGGAGTGTGTTTTCATGGGTGTGTGAGGAGGGTGTGTCGGGGAAAATTTAACAGCAACCATGCAAACAACATGATGTCAAATCAGTTTCAAACTACACTACCCTGAGAAAAGAACAATGTAGGAGAAAAAAAATATTTGTGGATTATTATCTTCATGCAGTGTACAGAAACTCCTGTTATATACTGAGGGACTTGTCCACACACAGAGATATGATATGGATTGTTGTGACGCAAGATGATAGGTATGTTGGCCGTTGTAAAAAAGCAGCTCAGCAGCATAGTTGTTGAACTGCTCGACACTGACAGCTAATCAATCGTTGTCTTCAGCCTCTGACCTGTAAAAAATAAAATAAAAACAGCTGACAGAGCAACACAAAACTCTTCATCTGGATTCTGAGTTATATTATTTCACTATACCTTTAACACATTTACACTTTTTTTTTTCTTTTTTTTCTGTTTTACATAAAATGCTGAGTTTCAAAAACAAGAGGCTGAATTTGAAAGAGGCGTGAAAGTTCCCAGCTTTAGGAGTGGCCACCTGTTGCACTATGGACAGAGAGGGTGTGGCCATGCTGACTGCTCCTGAGTTTCACCTGAGAACTAAATAAGCAAGCTTCACCAGTACTGCCACACAGCCAGGCCTCACAGGATCTACGCTTACTTTGGATTATTACCTCACTTTAAGGTACGTTAAAGCAGCTTTATGTTTCTCTTCTTGATTTTTCCTGGAAGGGTGTACTTTAGACTAAAACATTTAGCCTCATCTTGTTATTTTTAAAGTGATATATACATTCATTGTAGACCTCACTTCAAAAAAGGGGGAAAACAAGAGCAGCAAATCCTCCATTTCCAAGGTACATGTTAGATTATAAATAAACAAATGTGGCAGAGAAGTGGACGTCAACCGTACTATGACAGCATTTTACCTTCATGAAATTGTATTAGAGATAAAAAAAACTAGCATTCAAAGATAGCAGACACTGAATTACAGTCTAATGTGTTGCCTTCATGTTGCTCTCAGGGTTATAATGAAGCCTGAATTCACAAAGAGGAGGCTAAAGATGGCTGTGTTGCTGCTTCTAACAATCCAGATGGAAACAGGTGAGTGCTCTTTTTTTTCAAAGTGCAGCCAAAGAAAAAAACAATATTTGACATGTCTTTAAACGCCCCCTCTTGGGCTGTCCTGTTTACAAGAAGGATTAAATGTTGTGATCAAAGAGAATGGAGGGTGTGTGATGAGGAACAGCAGGTGGTTTCTGTGTTGTAAAGTCTGATCAGTGATTCACACTGGCCGATCTGGCTTTGCTGAAGTTTCAACAACAATTCAGTGGGTGAATAGCATAGCAGACAGTCAATGAACCATGCGATTATAATGTGGGTGTCTGACAGGTACCCTACATAGCATTCATAGCTCTGTCCGTATCTGCTTCAGTTTGGGGACTAACTTCTGTGTATGTTTTTTTTAAAGAACATCTTGAGAGACTTCATTAGAAAAATACCTGATTATCCAAGCTGTCCATTTTGATACACAAACATGATGAAAACAGAATACAAACTAAATTGAATGCAGCACAGTTAAAGTAAAATAACATATGAAAACTCTTATCATTTTGAAAAAAACACATGCTGTCACAGAACCGAGCTGGAGGAAGGCCAGTGGCCTCAGCCAGCTCAAATGGCAACAATCCTTCCGCAGGTTCACCTATATAGAAACCTTGTTACGACTTTAAGTTCGCTTTCAAAGCTCTTAGTCCGTCTGACATGAGGTTCATGGCCTTCCCTCACTGTAGACTCCAATGTTAAAGTTACTGCACTTTTGAAGTCCTGAACACTGAAAGAAATCAGCCACCTTCATGACCTTCACATGCTAAGGGGCGCTGGTAGCCTAGTGGTTAGTGTGCGCCCCTATGTACGGAGGCTATAGTCCATCGAGTGGGCAGCCTGGGTTTGAATCTGACCAGTGGCTCCTTTCCCGCATATCATCCTCTTTAGAATAAAGGCATAAAACAAAAATACTGCTAAAAAAGACGCATCACATGTAACCATAACTGCAGTTTGTGAAATAATCTTGAAATAAAAATGGATAGATATTTTCATTTTACAATTCTAGACAGCATCAATTTGGAACCAATGTGTTTGGCTAGGACTTGCCAATATGTCAAGCTTTACATGTCAGAACATGTCCATCACTTAATGGTGGACATGTGATGTTTCACAGAAAGTCATCTGGGTTCAGGTAATCTGAATGAAGGCTCTCTCTCTTTACCAATGACACTTCTGCGTTGGTGCTTTCACACTTGCCTAAAACTTGTGAAAACTCCCTGAAGTTTTTGGGGTGAGCTGCAGGCGTGAACACAAACAGATGAATCTTCACTCCGACTTTACGTTAACTTTTTTTCCTGCCAGCCCCCTTGTATGGAAATATTCAGGATAATATTCCATAGCGAGCGGAAGAGAGTGGTGTTGTTTATACGCTGCTTTGGTGGCCAAAGACTGTACTGCATGCAGCCAGTGTGATCTCTGTGAACGTAATGAAACTTCTTCATTACGTCTGCCAGTAGGTGCATCTCCATTCTTTTGTTAATAGTCACAGTCTGCTCGTGTGGAAGGTGCAGAGATGGGTCAAACAAAACAGGACTTTCTAGGGAGTGGTGCAATTATGAGAGACCAAATTCAAAGATCCATGCTCTAAACGTAACAGAGAGATATCTCTTTCATAACCTGACTTTAATCCTGCTAGTAAAGATAACTTAACTGATCATTTTCTTTAAACCTAACAGAGTAGTTCTCGGGCTCAATTACAAAAAGTACAGTTATGTTTAGGAGAAGATCATGGATGGGGTCTTAAATAATACTGCAATGTTCACTCCTGGAAACAGCTGTCACCTTGGTGAAAGACGAAGACGAACTGCCTGGCAAAAAAGTTTTGCGGTGGTTCTGACTGACAGGAAAAGAGTTTGTGGTGTTTCAGGCTGGAAATCCAGTAACAACATTTAAAATACATCAGTCTGAAATTCATGCTGACTGACTCCGGGGGAAAAAGAGAGAACTTGTGTCTGTGTACAAGAATCAATAAATTATTATTTCATGACTATTGCACTGACTCATGTGAGACTGGGTGGGCTCAAAATCTGCCTCACACACAAATGATAGTCGTCCTCTTTGAGTGCAGCGTCTATGTGTTTTTTTTTTGTTTTTTTTTTGTGTATTTCCCATATTGATACACTTTGAGATTTATTTGCTCCTGTGTGAACATTTTGGTCTTCTATAGCACTTTGGTCAGCTGCAGCGGTTTTTGAAACATACTTTATGAATAAAATAAATGAAATGAAATATAAATGAAAAAAACCCTCCAGCCCTTTTAACCATAATGTGTCAGCACCTCATGAGAGCCGTGGTTTACCGCCTGATGTTGAAGTCCTGATTGAGTCTTCAAGTTTCAGTTCTAATCCCTATTTTCAAACTGAAAGTAACCTATTATTGGAACATGTAGTGTGGACCAAGGATGAAGTTGACCGGATTTGAATATTTGCAGCTCTTCATGCAAAGCTTACTTCCTCACTGGCACATTAGCTTAGCTGCCCCTCCACATGGAAAACACGTCCTCCTTGGATCACACTGTTTCTCGCCCAAGGGGGCTTTCACAGTGTAAACATTTGACTGACTAATTTGAGCTTTTTGTCAGACTGCATTCATCATGTCTGCGGTTCAAATGCTCTCGTGAATACCGCTGACATTCTTTGTTTTGTTGCAGTAGCATTGAAGTGCTATAGAAGATATAATGAGTGAAAAGAGAGTCTGTGTTCACTTATCTACATGGTCTATGAAGACATTTGGAGACAGATAAACATCTCAATGGGAAGATGTTGAAAAGAGATATTTCTCTGGGGATGTCTGGGAACAACAACATTAGCAAGATAAATACATTGTATTTGTAGAAATGCATTGCAATGTGATCATAATAAGCATTGAGTTCGTTCTTTAAACATGAAGCCATCAGCGTTAATTAAAATCTATGGCAATAAACAATGAGTCAGCGGGGTGTGTTACAACTCAGAGACAGCTTCTAACTGCCACTTGTCAAGTACATTTTTCATGTTTGCTCATGCATTCATTTTTCATCATCATTTTCGAACATCATTGTGACAGCTAATGAGCCTCGGGAGGTTTAAATTAAAACGTTACTCCATTTTTGCAAAAATAGGCCGAACATTTATACTTTTATTCCAGCAACCAAATGCTCGTCGGTTTGACTTAAGAGGCCAATTAGTCTCAGATCAGCCCCCCTTTTTCTCCTTTCTGAGATGTTTACGAGCACATGCAAGCTGTGGGCTTGGAAAATCAAAAAATATGGATGCATTGGAGGGGGAACCATAAAAAAACTGATTTGAAATGTTGTGTCCCTTCAGATGTTTCAAAGGCAATGCAGGTGACCTCATCAGGGCCACAGACCATCCAAAAGGCTCAGGGGGAGTCTGTCAACTTGGGTTGCACATACACCCCCGGCCCCCAAGACACAGGAGAGCTGGACATCGAGTGGTCCAACGTCAGCCCGGATATGACGCAGAAAGACCAGCTGGTGGGTGTTTGTATAAGACAGAAAGGGGAGTTGTTGTGAAACCTGTCTGTGAGGTCTGATGAGAGAATTTAGCTTCGAGAGGGGGGGAGGGGGAGGTGGCTACCTTCAGGTTCTGTATGTGAAAAAACCTGCTTTTAAAAAAACCCTGCTTTTAACATGGTTCCCCACTCACCAAAATGTTTGCATCTCAGATCTTATCCTTCACAGGAGGCCTGATGCACCAATACGGTGATCCAAGTATCTCCAGCAGGATGAAATTCACAGGGAAACCCCTGCTGGGCGATGCCTCCATCTCCATCTCTGCTCTGAAGATCAAAGATACAGCCACCTATCAGTGCAAAGTGAAGAAGGCACCGGGAGTGGATGTGAGAAAAGTCACCGTGGTGGTGATGGGTGAGGAGGAATTCCTTTTGACTGGTTTTACTTGTTTGCTTTCTAAGACGCCTCATTGTTCTTTTAAACGTTGTTCTCGCTCGCATGGCATGTTGAGGTTCTTTGAGACTGTAATCACACCTCTCTCAGCATAATCTTCTTTCTGTTTCATACCTTGATGCCAAAGCATTGAAACGTTCCTCTAAAAGCAGCTTTTGTGCCATGTGTTTATTCATTCCCTTTCACCAGTTCGCCCGTCAGTGCCAAAGTGTTGGGTTGATGGTGGCGAGGAGAGGGGCGGCACCGTCTCCCTCCGCTGTAAATCCTCTGCGGGGTCCACGCCTCTGAGCTACACGTGGAGGAGAGAGAGCGGAGGTGCTATTCCGGTCACAGCCACCCAAGGTGAGGAGAAGACTTGACAGTGAAAAGGGCTTTTATGTAATGCAATCATGCTGCTAAATTAGTATGGTGTGCTTGTGTTTAATGTTGTCTTCTTTCATTAAGACCCGCAGACTGGGGAGCTTTTGATGAGGAACCACTCAGACAGCAACATTGGAAGTTACGTGTGTGAGGCGCAAAACGCTGTCGGCAAAGCGCAATGTAAATACGCTCTGCGTGCATACAACCGTAAGTCTCTTTTGTTATCCGCATATTTACACTTTAGTCGTCAAAATGCATTCCCCCGAAAGGGAATTTTTGTAACGCACGGTTACAGTAGGCTATATTCTGCAGTCTGTGATGCAATGTCACATGTAGCGTAAGCCTCTTGTTAAAGCTGTGAAATTGTGTCTGTTGAGAGTAGAGTTGCATTTCTTTGATCTCATGTCGTCTCTTTCAGCCACCAACAAGGCGGGTGTCATCGCTGGGGCTGTTATAGGAGCATTGCTGCTGCTGCTCCTCCTCTTGCTTCTTATCTGGCTCCTGATCTGCTGCTGCCATAAACGGCGCTACCAGAAAGAGGTTGCAAATGAAATCAGGTATCACATCAGAGTATAAACGATTTATCCTTCAAAAATCTCAAATCTAAGGATGGTGTTGTTGAGACCTGTGTGACTTGTCTCCTCAGGGAGGACGCCCCGGCCCCAGACAGCAGACCCACCAGCAGAAACTCCAGTATGCGCTCAGTGTTAGGGTACCGCACCCACCCTGGGGTGATCTACAGCTCTGTGAAGAGCCACCTGCCCAGCAGGCAGTCAGGCCGCAGCGCCGTCTACGCGGGTGGTAACAACAACCCAGCATATCCTGTTACTGCAGGAGGGAAACCTGCCGACCTCAAATACGACCCTCGATATGGTTACCCAGTGTGACATCAAAACCAATTTATTTTTTATTGTTAAGAAAAGTATTTTAGGAATACCCTGTTTATTGCTTATATGACAGAATGTGCAATACAATAAATGTAAGTAAAGAAGTGCAGGTCTTCCACTACGGGGGACTTTTATTTAATCTGACCTCAGCCGTTGGACAAAGCACTGTCTGACTTTCATAATGCACTGTGGCACATCATTACTAGTGTAAACTAGAGAAAGACCACATAATACACGACTCAGATTATGCCCAAAGTGTTTGTAAAATGTATGTATATAAAATCATTTTTTGTTCTTGCCTTTTATCCTCTGTGGTGTACATGTAGCTCATTGAATTCATGGTTTTTATAAGTGTGTACAATAAAAATGGTTCCTCTTTTTTAAGATTTTTTGGGAGGATTTCTTTCTTTTTTTTCTTTTTTCACACTCATCCAGGGTCGGGTTGTAAGTGCAGCAGGACCGAGCAAGTAGACTTGTTTGGATTTCTTTCTTTGTTGGATACAAACAGGACAGGACAGGCAGGGAGAGAGAGAGAGAGAGATGGGGAAGACATGCAGCAAAGGCCCGGGTCTGAACTGAACATGAGCTGCAGTGATAATAGTACATGGCCAAGCAGGGGCGACCCCAATAAAAAATCGTTTTCAACTGACAAGAGAAGAGTAGAGTCTCAATCCCCTTTAGGGCACATTCAGAATTTCTTGCCTTGCTCCGTCTTTTTTAGTGGGATGATATGCAGGCTTTACAAAAAAAAGTATATAGAATAACATCTGAAACAAAGTCCCAAAATATAACACGTTATTTTCCTCAAATTGAGTAAAGACAATGAGTTTTCTTTTACCATGAGTTGTCTTTGATAAGCAAGATTAGATCAATTGACCAATGACATAACACAGTCAAAAAAAAAAAAATATATATATATATATATATATATATATATATATACAGTCTGGAGTATTTTTAGAAATGTAAATGAATGCATCAAAAATGAAAATGCTGCAAAACTATACGTTAAAATTCTGATCTTTGGGCATAAACATGTTCAAACAATGTGTCTGTTTCCACAGCCTGCTGGCTGTCTTCTCGGCTGTAACTGGGTAAACACAAATTGAAGCTTTGCGCTGCTCATGAGTCAGAAAATTGGGAGACAGTAAAGTTGTTTTGCTTCAGATCCTCTGTGTGTATTTGCCTCCTGGAAAATGTTTCACTTGCAGAACAAAGTGTTTGGAAATTGCCTTTTTGTGTTGTGCTTTCCTTCCGTTTTTGAAAAAGCAGCCAACTAGTAAACTAGTTATTAGTCAGCCAGTAGCTGAGACGCTAAGTGGCACAGTCACAACTTTGCCCACAGCCCCACCTCTTGCCCGCTGTGGCCTCAGTCCATCCTCAAAAGGTGTTCGTTGAGTTGAAAGAGCTGCAGGACGTGGTGACAATTTGAAGGCCCTTGGTCATATATTCTGCCTAGGGCCACTTAAAGGGCCAGCGCTGCTCTTCACTCATCTGCTACACTGCTTGACCTTTGTAAAAAAAGAAAAAAATCTTTTTATTCAAAATGAAGAGGGGGAAAACATAAAAATAGTATTTCTATTTGAGGGTATCAATACTTAGATGAACTTTTCTTATTAAATGAACAAGCAGCACACAGAAACATGTTTACAATTTGCCTCTGCAGTGTTTATATTTCTTGTCTTCCTCATAAAACAAAATGAAATCTGTCAACTGCTGTGTATGTATATTTATCTTGCTGTTGCACATCCATCACAGGGACACATTCTTGATGTAAGAAAGCCTTTCCATGTAAGTACACGAGTCTGTCCTTTGATCCAAGCATGAACATGGGGAATAGGAACATTAATTAATAACAAATTATTTTTTGGCAACTTCTCTAGGAAACCACATAATCTCTTCTTTTAATAATAAGTTTCTTAGAGCGCAGAGCTTCTAACAGGGTTGGTAATTATTTTTAAGAATGCACTGCGGAGTTCTTTCACATTGAGTTCAAAAAGCTTCAGCGTGTAACAAAAAAAAATCTGGGGTTCTTTTGTGCCATTGTGCAAAAAAGGCAGTTCTGTCCTAGAAATTCACCCCTTGATTGTTTTGGAGTGTTTGGTATAAAATTGATTATTTATCACAGTAATAAAAAAGTAACTTAGTTTAAGTGCTATTCATGAAGAAAACATGGGCGAGCCACAATAACAGCTAATTTAATAAGGATTCAGTTCTCTGTATAATTGGATAATTATGATGGTTAAAAAAATCATAATAGAAACATATGAAAAAAATAATTCAAGTCATCATCTGGTTGTAAAAGCCTGTGTACAAAGTTAGTGTCCTCCACATCCCGAATATAGTGATAAGCTGCTGCCTTAACAAAGCTCCTGAAGGTGATTCAGAGGTGATTTGCTCTTCTTATCAGTAAATAGGTGTGTGTCTTTATGTAAGTGTGTGTGTGTGTGGTCTGAGGTTTGTAAATATGTGGCCGGGCAGCAGGAATAACCATTTGCATGCAGAGTTTGGTCGAGAGTGGTCCGAGCTGCCACGCTGCACCGACTGCCATACAGTAAAGTCCAATTATATCATCACATAATGAGCACATATCCTGTCTGAGTCCATGCAAATACACAATCACCACAACCTGTGGTCATTACTGATGCAAATCAAACCTATAACGCTGCTATATAAATCCCAGTCCAGGAACTAATCTCAGGACTTCACCTTGGTGTGCGATCACACAGACAACTTGAGGCGAGGATTAATGCCCGGATAAACAGAACAAAACAAAACAAAGGATTTGAACAACTGCAGCCAAAGGTGTCGAGCCAGACACATTTTGACGACGTGAAAGATCCGAGGCAACACGTTTTTTTTTGACGAGGCAAAGATAAAAAGCCTCTTCCAACCCATGGGAGCTTCCTTTGAGGTAAAAATGGAGAATGTGTCTTCCTGTATTTGCTCTAACCTTCTTATCCCAGCTTTCCTTTTTTGCACAAGCCAACCTCAGTCGTGGATTTCACATTTATCTAACAATGTTACAAGATTTGAAACGAGCACATATTGACCTGTTTTGATGTACCTAAAAAAAAGAAGCTAATTATGTGAATCTTTCCTGCCCCCAGGACCTGCTGACAAAGAGTGACTAAATCCATTCTGAGTCAGAAAAAAAGAATCATCTGTTTGGGAGCGTGTGAATAATTCTTTTGCCTTTTTGTCATCTCTTTGAACGCAGCAAAAACAAAACACTCCAGAACCCACACACTGACTTCAAAGACAGACATTTTAACTTATTCCCAGAAAGTTTACCACTGCATATGTCTTTCGGGTTTAGTTTAAATCATGTATGGTGGAATTAAGGTTGCCCTCTGGGCGCTGACAGGTCTGCTGTCCATCACCACCATCTTCTTCAACGTCTACATCCTGCTGATGAGTCTGTGGAACTACAAGCAGAACAAGAAGTGGACTCCGAGTGAAACCATCATCCTGGCGCTTTCAATCGCCAACATGGCTCACCAGCTGATCTGCTACTTCTGGATGACCATGGCTGAGGTGGACAGTAGCTGCCACATCATGCAGATGCCCTACACCATGATGCTGCTGCTAGTCTACAGCCTCAAGTACACCATTATGTGGGACAGTAGCTTCCTCACCTTTTACTACAGCACCAAGCTGGTGAACACACCCAACCACTGCTACACAAACATCCAGGGGGTTATCCTCAAACATGTAGCCTTGGTTGTGTTTCTCATCCCTCTTTGTGGCCTTGGTACATGTCTGCCCATGATGGTGGTGTTTCACCCTGACAACCAGACCACAGTCAACCAGGACTGTGGGGTGTTAATGCCCGACACCTTACCCGGTAAGGTCTACGAGGTCCTCTACCTGCTCTTTGCCGATGTTCTACCAGGGCTACTCATGATCAAGAGCTGCATCTCCATCTCCGTCCACTTGGGCATCCACCTGCGCCACATGAAAGCCAGCACCAACGGAGCCCACGCGCCCAAGCTGGGCGCTCAGATGAGGGTGATCCGCATGGCTTTGTCCCTGGTGGCTGTCTTCATCCTCTTCCTCATAATTGACCTCTACGTCAACTACCAGATCTCTGTGAACCACGATAACATCCTCATACTCACGTTCTTCTTCACGTCCATCTACACTACCACCACTGCCATGGTGCTGATCTACGGCAAGAAGCCTTTTTGGAAAACCCTCATACATGAATTCAACGTCAGCATGGATGAATATCCGTGTTTGTCGTGTCTGAAGGTGCCTGAACGGAAGGCCAAAGCCAGCACAACTGCAAAGATTAAAAACTGAGAGGCAATCCGCTTCACGCTGGAGTTCTTTGAGCTGAAATCAATTTGTCATTGTCTGGACTTATTAAAAACTCTGCAGAAACGTATTCTTTTATCTTTTGTGTGAGCAATTTCTGTAATGACCGCTGTCCTGCTGTATCACCATAAAACTTCTTACATCAATGCAGTAGATTTAAAAAAGGGCTTCAGGAGCTGTTTAAGTGATGCACAGATAACAACGGTCAGGTAACCTGCTTTCCATCCAAATCACTCACTGATCCAACAATTATTAATATTTCAGTAGAACAAATAATAGTCAAGCCTGTAAAATAGATCCCCAAGCATGGCTGCCTGGACATGATGCAACTCTGCACCCATCTAAAAATGCTAAAAAATACATGTGACTGTCGTGAGAGTACAGAGCATATTAATAAAACAAGAAAGTACTCACAACCTGAATCCCTCTTTTTGGTTTGCATCACAGAGGTTTTATGAGATTTTTCTCGGGCAGGTTGCAGAGATTTTAAGCTGCACAGAGGGACAAAAGCAGCCGAAAAACTGGAAGGATGCCAGTCAAAACTCCTGCACTAGTTTGAGGAGAAAGAACATATACTTGAAGGGGAAAGGCGTTTATAATCTCAATTTTGCTCGTGTGGAAGTGTCCTCAACAGAGGCGTGCAGGGCTGTGCTCGACATCTCCCAGGTGTTATTGTGTGTAGCTGCAGCTTTGTGCGTGTGGCTGTGGGTGAAGCTGGGCGTTCCTGACAGAGTGCACTCAGGCCGAGCAAACCTTCCCTGAGTAAATAGAGGTTTACAGAAGTGCAGCAGACCTCTTTGCAATGCTCCATCAGTTCACACCCTCTGGCACCACCTAGTGAGGTTCAAAGTAGAGATACAATAGAGCGGCTAATCCCTCTCCACACACTGCCCTGCTCCCTCCGGCTGTTAAATGGACAAAGTAGGGAAGGGCAGCACTTCCTTTGATGCAGGGGAATTAAGTCGTACAGAGGCCTCAGTTTCCATCGTGACTGTACACTTCGCACTTCGATTGAGGGATCAGGTCGTGACATGACAGCTGAATATTATAAAATAGTGGCCAGTGACGTTACAAATCCTCACCCTATGGAATTATATCCTTGATCTTTATCCTTTTAGGAAATGACAGCATGGATGTCCTAAACTTGTGAAAAATGTGAACTGCAAGGTCCTGCAATCAACTAACCAAAATGTTGAAGGAATATTGCTCCCCTATAAGTTACACATTATCACAATTTACTTTTTGGTTTATATAACATTTTTATCTACACTATTGTGTTCATGATAGAGCCACGTTTCATCGCTGTAGCTCGTTGAGGTGGAGCTAATTAACTGTCACTACTGTGTAAACAGTTGGGTAGGTTAGTCCACTGGCTCCAAACATGGGGCTCTGACCCCTCTGGAGGGTCACTAGACACATCTTAGGGGTCATGAAATTCCTAATGTGGTAAAAAAAAAGAGAAGAAGTCACATAATAAATAATTGTACCGTACACAAACTTGTGAAATTTTCTTTACTTTTGTCATTTCTCAAATTTTTTTTAAAGATTTATTTTTGGGCTTTTGCCTTTATTTAGATAGGACAGTGGATGGAGCAGGAAATCAGAAGAAAGAGGGGAATAACATGCGGGAAAAGTGCCATAGGTCTAACTTATTTTTTAATTGACTTTATTTATCAGGGGACAGTTTGCAATGACACTGAAATACAAAGAAATATGAAAATATGGTTACACAAGATATAGTGAGATGCTAATTTCCATCTGAACGCAGGCTGGTCACTTTGAGGACTACAGAATCTATAAACAGAGGCGCTGCTTGTGAACAGGCAAGGCCTGCAACTGCTTGAGGTCCCAGACCATTAGGGGGCCCCTGAGGGCTCACAAACTTTAAACCACAACAGTGACCGAAGATGTGCAAATTTGGCAATGACATTAGGGATACCTCCTTAAGGGGGCCCCATTTGACAGCACTCACCCTTGTTGCCCTGCTAAGCATGGCGTGCATTGTTGCAGTGAAAATCAAAGGTTGTTAATGAAAGTCAGCAAAGGCAAATGAAGAGGAATTATCAGTCTACAGGAGAGAAAACAAAAACAGGAAAAAAAGAGGAAGAGGAGTAAGCGTGGGGACACTGGCAGACATGATGTAATAAATGCAGGTTGTAGGGCCCCTAATTATTTCTTGCCTGGGGCCCCAACAGACTCCTAAATCACCAATGTCTGTAAATGGGGCGTAACCTAACTGCTAGGCAGTCAGTGTCCTGGCATTTTACTTTAAAAAAGACAACAACCAAAAATCATAAAATGTTACATTTTTTAGCCGTTAACAGTTATTCAAATCAGCCGTCTGTAGAAATCTCTTTGGTGGTCGGACTTCAATGCTGAGACATGTAAACAACTAGACACCGCTTTTTAGCCAGATCTCCATCAATGCATGTTTGGAACCACTTACTGTCTGTATGACAGTTGCTAATTATTATGAAGCAAGATGTTTATTTGGTTCTTAATTTCTTATCACTATAGTGTTAAAAACTCATGAAAAAAATACACCAAAACTGCACAGAAGAACTTGACTTAAGGAACTATACAAGTTCAAGAACTTTAAAATGATATGTAAGCTACCATCTGTGTATGTTTGAGGTCGAAAATCCTCCCATCTGCTCCTATTGCTGGTTGTCTCAAGGTGATGGAAATTCTGCCTGTGTGTGTTACAGCCTCAGACTTTGTAAGAAGTCAGATTCAGACACAGATGTGTCATCGGCCTATTGTCAGCGGAGTCGATGCCAGCTGAGGGAAAACCAGACTGTTGTGATTGATGTCCTCATGTTCTATACATCATGAGGCTGTAAACATGTCTGCTGTATAGAGAGTGGTTCCATGGAGATGTTCCTCCCAGAGAATCTGCTGAACCAGGCTGCTGCATCGTTGTCCCCTTTGCATGGCTGAACATGCTTCAAATAGTTATTGCTCCGGAGACTTTGCAGGCAGAGTGATATCCCCTGCTTCACTATCTGACAGGAAGGAACAGGCCATTAACAATCGAGATTAGCAAGACTAGCACCCATCATCACGCAACTCCCATAAACAACTCATAAACTCCTCCCTGCAGACGGACCCCCACCCAGAGATTAGCTGGAGCATCAGAGGCATCTTCTTCCTATACACCTTCTCCAATTGTGTTTGAAATGCATAAATCACCAGCTCAATGCCAGTTTGTGGGATGTTTTGAGCTTGGGTGGGTAATTTTTCTGGCTATCAGCAGCATCCAAATGTCAGCGAGTTCTCTCCAGTGAGGGCACGGAGAATAATCTGTATTCACTACGCTGACAGGATCATAGTTAAGAGATGAAGATGCCTTTCTAAAGGAATCAATGTCACCACAAAATGAGAGTCGGCTCTTTCATAAAGTTTTTATTTGTGTTCAGTCAACAACAGCTTGTTCATAAAAAAAGATCATTATATATCTCTTGAGGCAATGTTTGTAGAAGATTTCTTTGATGCTTGTTAGGAAAAGTTTACTATAAAAAATGAATCCCTTTAAAACAATTTACACAGACGCCTTAATCAGCATCTCATTTTGATCCTATTCAAACAGCTTACATATATAGATTCAGCACTCTGAAGGCACTTATACTGTATTGCTTTTTCTAATAAAAAAAGGTAAGCAAGTGGAAATTAGATTTTTCTGCATAAAAGTAAACAATCTCTGTACACAACTGGTGTGCAAAACAGTGGAAATATTCATTGAATGAAAATAATTTAAATTCCATTGATTAACTGGTAAAAAAAAAAGAGACCTAGATCTACCAACACCTGAAATATAAGAATTTAAGTCAACTTCAAAAGCATTCATGCTTGTACCGTACAGCGCTCAGGCTTCTTTAAAGGAACAGTCTGAAACTTTAGGTTTCCTTAATTTCATGGTTATAGTTGAAGGGGAGATAAACACATCTCTCATGTCTGTGGATAATGAAGCTGCAGCTAGAAACCTGTTGGCTTATCTTTGTATAAGACAACAGGGGGAAACAGCTAGCAAGGCAACCAAATTAAACGGCCATTATGTCTAAAGCTCATTATAAACACATTACAACACATTTTTAATTTTAAATCACCTTAAAAAAAAGACTAGTTGTGGCCTTTTTGGTCATGAGCATTCATTTGTTATCTTTAGTGGTTGCCTGACAACTGCACAAACCCCCACAAGCTGTAATTATTACACATATTTTGACCATTTGAATGACAAAAGATAAAAATGGTTAATTAGTGCACCTCAGTGCTGGGAGGCAGACGTTGTTTCCTTTGACACAGCTGGGCTACATGTTTGTTGACCATGCAGACATGAGAGCTGTTTCAACCATCTCACGTAAACTTCTGCAGAACGGCATACTTCTCAAAATGTTGAACTGTTCCTTTAAGAAATAACGTGCTTAACTGCGGACCTTTATCAATACAATGGAGTTTGGAAGCATCATTGACAGTACTAAGCTCATTATAAAGTTATATAAAAAATGCATTATGTGCTACACATTCATCAATGCCATCCAGTGTCTCTTAAAATCTGTTGAGTTAAAAATTGGTTTGATCATTGTACAACTGAACACCATCATCAGACACACACAAAACTAACAGTTACATTCTGTACATTGTATTCCCTGCTCTATATCAAGTTTGTCACGTATCTAATGCAGCTTTTTTTTTCCTGTATGGAAAGGTCGGTTTGGAATGCCGGTAAACAGCTAATGGGAAACAAGTCATCCAGTGTCACTCCGTCAAATCAAAGCTAAAAATAACATTGCAGCATTGGTCATTCTTTTTCCCTGCGAGTGATAAAGTCAGTACAAAAAAAAAAGACGCACATAATCACTGTTTCATTATATCTGAATAAAGGCACACTAAATTCAAGGCTGCAGCGACCTTGTGTGTACTGACTCATCTATCATTTCTGCACAGTAGTACCCTCTAACAACAGAAACATCACATGCACTCTTACTTGCGGCTTCAATACAAGACAAATTATTGATAACACAGGACTGCTTGAAATGATTAGTGACTTTTTAAAAATGGAACATGTTGCACACATCCCACGCAGATGGCCCTGCATCCGTACTCACAGTAGTGCCACAAGAATGAGTTCAACCTTAAGGCCCGCATGAAGGGTGCAGCCTTAGTGGGGCGGGTGCTCGTATGAGGGGAACATTGACTTTCGGGTTTTTGGAGGCGGTGGCGGAGGCTTGCTCTCAATTTTCATCGGTAAAGGAGGAGTGAACTGTGGGGAAACAGAGAAGAAAGTGCGGGGCTTCAAATGAAATAAAAAACAGAATATTTTAACGTTTACGCGCCATTAAATATGCATTAGTGAGCCGATGCTTATTTTCTTAGAGCAGATATTACCTCTGAAGAGAAGCCTGGGCTGTCAGTCTCATGAGGGTGCTTCTTCGGAGGCATGGGTGGGGGGGTCCCTGGGGTGTCAATGGTATTGACATCATTGTCACTGAGAAGTGATGAATAACCTACCACAGGGGAAAGAAAATCAGAGCTCTTCAGCCTGCAGGCCTCTGTGAATAAGCGTGTGAGTGTGTGTGTCATCTGATTAGGTGAATAAACTGAATGTGCTTTTCACAGAGCTAGCAGGCATGATATTCACCTTTGTCTGCGAGCAAGGTACATTTTAAAGAGAAATATTAAACAATGACATGCAGCGCGGCGGCTTTCATCAAAGAAGAAGATTTCTGCTACGTACTGGAGCTGCGTGGTGTGCGTGGTGTGTGTGGAGAGGCAGGTAGCGGGCTCAGAGGATTAGACAGGCTGAGATGGGAGGAAACACCCTGGAACAAGGAGAGGGTGAGCCGCCGGTCTCCTAGTTGTAAACTCTTGGGCCTCTGCTGCTTCTCTGGGGGAGTCTGGAATGAAAATCAGGACATGGAAAACATCAGCCTCCATGTAGAACAGTCCAGAATAATGGAGCAACTTCAGATTCACAGCTGAATAAAGGGAACTTCATTTAAAGGATGATACGGCCTATAAACAGACCACCTGGGTCAAAGAATCTCGGACGTGGAAATAAAAACAACATATCATATATATAAAAAATAAACCTGATCGTACCACATCGACATCTGACTGCCTCTCCAGCAGGACCTGGGATTTGCTCACACTCCATTCCTTCCTGTTCTTTCGAGCAATCCTGTTGTCTTCCTCCGAACGGGACAGGACGGAGGCCCTGCGATCACTGGGACAGGACAACAAGGAACTGCTTGTGAATAACCAAGGAGAGAGAAAAGGACTGAGAGAGATGTAAAATCTCAAACACAAATGTTACTTTTCTGTTCAAACAAAGATAACATCAGTGTTTGACTAGCACGGCTTTGTTTTACAGTAACACAATGTCACACACAACCAGCCAGGGAAAAGGTAGAGGAAGGAAGCAGGGAAAGAAGGAAGCGGGGACTGACTCGTGGGAGGAAATGCAGGAGGGTCCGTCTGAAGACGCAGAGCCGCTGGAGAGGCCTGAGGAGGCATTTGAGAGGGTTGAGACGGTGGACATGCGACGCAGGGTGGAGGACAGGATGTAGGGCATCACGACGGAGCCCACGCGACTCTTCTTCTTCTCAGTGAGAGAGCAGGGCTGGGACACACAAATGGGATTAAGCATCATCGGGGAATCTTGGCAGGAGAGGAGCACAATGACAAGCAAAATCTCTCCGGGTTGCAATGCACTGACTAAAGGAAGATTTATGGTCCTGCGCTGATAAAATGTATACTGCGTTGAATGAGAAGTGTTTGATAGGAAGGCAAGAGGGCCAATAGCTTAAGTTGGCACCCTCGTACATTAAATCGAGTTTAGGGTTGGCAACGCACCAAGGTTATGACGCCATAATGCTTCTCCACTTTCTCCCGCAGGTCTTGGAAACAGGTGACCATACGGTTGTGTAAGGGCTTCAGCTGCTCCGTCGTCTTCTCCCCGTGGATGCGAATCCCATCTGCCAAGAGAGGGATCTAGAGGGGAAGAGGACACTTAAGAGTAACAAAACGTTTTCTCCTTTAAGGCCAGAGTCAATGACAGTGATGGTGGAAGGATGTACCTGCAGGGCGATGAGCTGTTTAAGGACTTCTATGCGCTCATGGTCCTCTGGGTGCTCTTGGATGTAGGTGTCTGTAAAGAATGCCTTCAAAAGAAGAAAACAGAGCGGCTTTTTAAAGACACAGGCTTAAAATATATAGCTGCGGGCAACAATGAACAGGTGTCCACGGCATGACAAAGAGGCCACAGAGGCTCCCTTATGAATTCAACTTTGTAGCTTCTAACAGGCTCAAGGACAGCAGGACCTTAAAAAGGACTTCTAAATTCATTGTATCATTACTATTTATCTGTTTCTAGTTCAGTTTGGCAGTGTTATTCTTCTCCAAATCACTTGCTTTATAGTCGACTGAGTACAACTTGAACCTGGTTGGGAAAGAGCATAAATCTAACAATACAGTGCAGTCTGTTAACAGGACATTAACATATTTCTGTGCGGCTTTTCTGATCTCGCATATTGGATTTGAAGGCTAGATTTGAGCACTTAATGACATCTGTACAAACATTATGGCTTTTTATATAGAAATGATGGCCTGTTGGGTCAGAGCCAACTTTCGACAAATTTGTGCCCTGGGCCTGATTTCATTTTTGGAGCCCCTCTCTTCCCCACTACCAGTACTGCTTCATGACCTGAGAGATAATTTACAGCATGACCCTGAGTAACGACCAAACTGCAGTATTTCAGGTCATATTTATTGATTGCATGTCTTTTTGCAACACAGTAAGAGAGTAAGCGAGAGAACTCATTTATTGATTTGATATTTCAATATACATCAAACTTATTATGGGGTAGGATTTAAGGTCACTATGGCTTTCAGGGAGGGGGGGAGGGGGGTATTTGCATTCCTGCACTCCTCCAGCAGGATGTCTGGAGAGTTCTAGGGCAATGCATGTGTGAAAATCACAGACTGTAAATATTAATGGACGAAGCCTGAGTGACGTCAGCCATCTGTTACGGCAGCAGGCTCATCGGCAGCCGCCACCATGCTGGAAATCCTCTCTAGCCTAACAACATTCTGAGAGCAGAGGCGGGTTTCAAGCCTCTTGACAAACCGTTACATCGCGGATCGTGCCCACCTGTCAATCATGTCAGCTACGTGCCTAACTATGGATAACACGTATCGTTTTCAAAATCAAAACGGAGACGTTTAAAAAAATAAATAATTCACCCCTCTTACATTGTGTGCCAGTGATTGATAATAACTAATCAGAGCTATTTCGTTTTTTGTACCGTTTTTTGAGCCAGCCTCAAGCGGACACTTAACGAACTGCAGGATTCTGCACTTCCGCATTGGCTTCATTTTTCAAGACCGGAGGTTGCCGTTTGGTGAAAATGTGAAATGCCATTTAGCATATGTTAGCACATTTCCATGCTGAACACATCTTAACATCTGCATATTGTAGTTTGAAGAGGTTAGCATGAGACTTAGTAAGTACCATGTCCCCAGATCTGTGTGTAGCTAAGTCTTTTAAGGAACTATTTGATTCTTTATGTCTCTGCATGTCTGTAAAATATTGTCTCTGAAGTAGTTTGTTACTCATTTTGACCCCAAAGAGCGGAGTCGATTAGATTCAGTGTCCAGAAACATGCTCAGAAAAAACAACACAAAATATCAAACCTTCTCGTAGTTGGAGAAGCCGCCCATGACAGCAGGGTCAACGATGCCGCTAAGCATCATGGACAGTGGGTTGATGGACAGGGAGCTGTCATTGGCTTGCTGCTGCACAAGGTTACTCAGCTTTTCATTGGCCATCTCCATCGTCTCGACAGCGTTCTCCAAAGGACTGATCTCTTTCTGTCCACCAGGAGGATTCAAAGAAGAATAACATGAATGTGAGGAACTCATGACGCTAGACAAGCTTTAAAAAAAAACAACAACAACATTACAGTTTGTGCATCAAGGTTGCTTCTTACCACAGAAACAGATTTGACTTCAAACCATTTCAGAATCCCGGGAAAGTGATACGCTGTGATGTATGTTGTTCTCTCGATCCACATGGTCTGTAAGGCAGAATACAAATCAATAACTTATTAAATAGTTACACTTCCATAAGACTTGGGGGAGGTTCAGCCCAGACCACTGATTATCTTCAAAATGGAAGAACTTGATACAGACTAGAAGGCCGAGTCCCATTTATTTCACAGAAATTATCTTAGTCTCACAGAAATCTGTATCCTCTGCAAGAGCTCTAATGTTTCCTATATCCTGACTACCAACAACACGGCTCTGATGAGTGTTCAATATGCTGAGTGGAAAAAAAAACAATATCACAACTTTAAAGATGTTGTAACTTCAAGACAGTGTAGGGAATTTCAATTTGGCATACTGATGCAACTCTGACATGTTTACAAAAATGTAGGACCGTTTGATCTTTTTTTGTGTGACAGAAATTGTGAAATCTATCTGGTTTTATTTTTTTCAAGAACTGTAAAACTAATGAACCTAACTCTCCCTTTTCTCCTGAATTGACTCCAGACTTTCTGAACTTTAACTTGAGACGTTTTTTGACGAGTATACTAGACCGATTTTTGATGAACAATTTAGCCCCCGATGCAGCAGCATGTTGTGATGTGGAGGATTCTGTAAACAGCTGCTGTTCATTCTCGCTGAGTAGGTCTCCAATCTTCATCGAAAATCATTACAAAATGTTGATTTAATGGTGGATGCAGCAGGAGTACAGGACGTAGTGGTGCTCTTAAATAAGACTCAGTTAAAATCATTAACTTATAAAAACATTGAAACTTGTGTTTACTCTGTTTAATCAGATATGTAGATGTAGTACACCTTTCAGTGTAATCACTTTCTTTTGTCTGTTTACTACAGTAGCTGTAACGTGTTAATCATACATCCTGCAAAGACTTACAGCCAGTCAGAGTGAGATGTGCAAATATCGGCTGAAATTTGCACATCACTTGACTATTCATATTTATCATGTAAATATTAATCTTTTCTTATTATGTTTATTGTTGATATTTAATGTTGTACCTGTTCATAAGAGAGCACAGTTCACTGAAGTTAAATTCCTTGTGTGTGTAAGCATACCTGGCCAATAAATCTGATTCTGATTCTATAAGCATTAGCTAATTCCATCTCCAATATGTGCCGATATTACAAGATTTATTCACAAGTCATATAGCATTTTATTCGAGTTTCATTGTATTACACTAGCAGTTCTCTTTCACCAGCAGAGTGTGATATATGGATTACAACCAGCATTAACACAGAATGTCAAGCGGTGATGCACATTCATGTACTTTCCAGTTGAGTGAGCATCTTGTCTTCATTATTGATCTTTTTCCAAAATTGCTAATAACTGCATTTTAAAGATCAACACCATAAATGTGTGTGAGTCTCTATAAACTTATCCATTTCTAAAGATAGAAGACAGATCTAAGAAACATATCACCCTACATATAGGTATCTGATTTATATAAATCAAAGACGTCTGATCATCCTACCAACCATCGCCGACCTCATTCATTACACGATGCTGTATTCAGTCAATTTAGTTCACCTACAGCTGGACCTTTTACGTTTATGCATCAATGGATGTTCATATCAGTTATGACAACAGGAACGCGAGGAACACAAAGGAGAAATCCTTCCTGCATTCATCCCATCTCTCCATATCCCATTTTTCTTAACAACGAGTAAGGTCTTTTACCTTCTCCTTTGTAAAGCGCCTCGAGATAACACTTGTTATGAATTGGCGATACACAAATAATGACAGATTGATCCTTTCAAAATGAGCAGCATGACAAGATGATACAACTGCTGACAGTACGGAGCCACTGCACAAATCCAATACAACATAAATGCCACCAAGCTCAGCTCCTCATTGGTGGTCTTGAATTTAATAAAAACTGCACTCCATAAGGTCTACTTACTAAACAGTGAATCACAGTTTTCTCCCTGCCCAAACCAGGCTGGCAGCACCATTGTTTGACAGCTTCCCCCACTCATTATGTCAAAAACATGCATCTTAAAAAAAACCTTGGGTCTGAACCATGAGAGGGAGAGAGAGCTCATACAGTCAAGCTGAACTACGGAGCGTGCCATTGTGCACAGAAAAGGTAGCGGAATAAGAAACAAAGACTTCAATTGATCATCTGTTCTAAGGTAACTCAGTTTACCAGCGAGCTGTGTGAACATTGTGGACTGCGCTCCCTGCTAACAGAATAATACAGTCCAAACAGCTGCAACAGGCGCTGGGTGTTCTAATATGTCTGCACGTCAGCTCGTCAACATCACTGCTCTGTTTATGATGAACTATTAAAGGCAGGGTTGGTCATTTACAAAAACTAGCATGGTTTTGAAAGTAGCATTCCCTCAGTGCTCCATCTACATTCTCCCCCTCCCCTCTGTGCTCCCTCAAAAGCCACGCCCCCTCACTTACATGGACAAGCGCCAATGATCCAGAAGCTTTGAGTGTGGGCTGACGTGCATGCATGTGGTGGAGAACGAGCAGGGAGTCAGGGAGGCGTGATTGGTTCATCAGATTGGTACCTTGTGGCAGATATTGGTTAAAGTTTTTACAGGCTTACAACTGCTACGGATGACGGGTTTCTTCGTTTCTATTTCAGAGCTCATGAGTTATTAATGTTTGTCAGGACATAAAGGCAATTTTAACCAAAATCTTAAAAAGTTTATCTGGAGAAAATGACCAACCGTGCCTTTAACTGATGATAGGACATGACTGTGGGAACATTCAGTGTGAGCTTTGTTGTCTGTTTAAAAACTGGTATGACTTGCTGTTTATACTCTTAAGTATTAATAATCCCGAACATTAATAAAAGATGAATTTGTGCAGCACAGAGTATGACGTCTTCTCGTGGAATGACTTCTCCCTGTACCCCCAACTCAAACTTATTTGGAGCGATGCAGTGTGTTCAATTTCACAATTTGAATTGCTGGATGAGAAAAGGATGTTCTTTAAATGAGCACAAATAGCTTTATGTTTTCTTTTAGATAAGAACACGAAGATTTTTGTTTTGACAAGTAAATATTTGAAACCATTTTGAGATCTTCCCTCCCTTGGCAGAAACACTTTTTATATTAAACACGGTGAAAGCCAAAGTCATTGTGTAAAACCACCTCTGTGACCCCTTTCTGTCTTGTTAGCTCAACATAATCATATTGTGCTTCAGAAGGCCAAGGATGTGTGTTCAAGACTTTAATGAGGTAAACTTAACATCTTAAACCTACATAGACAAAACTCTGGATGAAGACTGCCATTTAACTGGAGGTTTCATGTTTAATCTGCAGAGCTCTGCTCCAAATGCCAGAAATGATTCTCCTAAAAGCCTAATTACAAATGTCTCATTCTTACTGTAAGCAGATGGGAAAAAGTCTGTTTGGGCCAGTGTGCATCACATGACAGAATTGGAAGTCGGCCACTATGTCAAATTGGCTTCAAAAACCAAGTGCAATGCTGAGGGCTTCATCTTCATGCTCACTCATTATTTACGTTCAATCTCTCACTCTCTGCTTCAAACACATCATCTGATTCTGGATGTTTCAGTCGAACACTTTAAACATGTTTTTAGCCTCCACCCTTTGAGCCAAACATCTTGTTGCTGTCAGTGTTTACAGCTGCTCTGTGTGGCTGCCGGTTGTAATTTTAGGCAAAGCATTCACATTCAATCCTCATCACATTCAGCTCAGAAGAATCTGAAGCTCTGCTCTACATTCATCTACAACACTGGTCCTCATCACCAGCACTGTGTCTACTCTCAGAAGATATTCCTTTTCATCTTGTTCATCTCTTCCCCCTTTTGATGAAAGATGTTGTCTCGATGGGCTCTAATCGGCAAAAACTCCTTCATAAGCATGCATCTTGTCAATAAATTGTTTTGATCTCTCCTCAAGCCATCATAAATCAAGTCTTCTCCAGTTGAAAAGTTTTCGTTCATCCTCTAAGTGAAATATGTGCACGGACAGGGTTGTGTCATTGCTTTTCTTTTTAGAATGTATGAGTGTGTGCTAATGCATATTAGCTCAGTGCTTTGAAGTAAATTTAAAAAGTGCTCACTGCAAATTCATTGTCTGGGTCCTTTTCACCTTTCCTGAAGGGCCGGGAATACTGGAACTGGTCCACTTCATTGGTTCTGTAATAGCTGCAGAAGCACAGGGAAGGACAGCAGTGAGTTAGCAGTTTGACCAAAGAACCATAAATCTCGGGATATTCACGACAAAATAAATCAGCCTTTAAGTGTTCAGTTACACACTTTAATATCTGCTCTGGAACCCCCTTGTCTTTAAACTGCTGCGGCACAGTCAGAACAGGCTTGACTGTAAAGCTCTGGATGTCTGTGAGGTTCAGTTAAGGATAAGACCAGGAACAAGGGGAAGGTGCAGAGGAAGTTGTTCGAGATCAGTTTTTTTTTTTCTATTATCTGTCCACTCTTTGAGGATGTTCAGGGCTTTCACTTAAATGTTTGTATGAACTTGCTTAGATGCATTTAATGAAATGGCACACATGCTGATGTTCAGCAGTTATGTTTACCACATTTAGCATTTTAGTGCAGCTAATTAGCATGCTAACCTTTCCAAATTAGCATTACACAGCGAGTACATCAGATTACTCATTTACTACAAGATTCACTCATGAACATAAACACTTGACAGATAAAATACTGAATGTAAAGTTAAAGAAGCACAAAGTCTTTAACTACACATCCTGGAGGAATAAAATATATTTACACAGACAATTTTTTAAAAAGGTGTTTTTTTTTTAAACTCAGAACTACAAATGTCTCCCCACAGCCATCCAGCTAACATGGCTACAATGTAAATAGCTCCCCTGGGGCCTGTAACTTCAGGATACACTGTCCAGTGGAGTTGCTGATGTTGTCTCCAGGGGGCGCTGTGCTGGTCATCCGTGATGCATTCGGGAACTGAGAGAGCAGCTTTAAGGTGAAGTCTTCAAGCCACTCGTACTCTTTGCCTCGATAGATGAACATCTTGTTCTGCAGCAGATATTTTCAGAATGCAAACACAACAAATTTAACTCACTAAAAAACCAAAAATATGATGACGCCTGTTTTCAATTATTGATGAGGTCTGTGCTGGTGACTTAACTGTTTTCATTCCAACATTGTCTTGTGTCATCAAAAAGCCAATAACCTTTATCGACATTATTGCACACTGCCTCGAGAAAGGTTTCAAACAGCAAACTCCTTGCATAAGCACGGTGCATCATGCTTTTACTACATCTCTACTAAAATAGGTAATCACTTCCTTACCCTGAGGAACGAGGGGAATCCAAGGCCGTAATAACCTACAGCAAAGTACTCCGGCTGTGGCCTCATTGCATGCATGATATGTTCATAAAACTTGGCTTGTTTTTTCTGTGACAGAGGACAAAAAAAAGACAATTAAGACGCAGAACATATACTGCATGTTGTATTTAGTGTGTTTGCAGTCACAGAATGAACTTCAATCATTCATATTTCAGAAAAAGAACAAGTTGACATTTTCTTTTATGAAATTGTGAGAAAAGTTTATTGGAGCACAATCATTCTAAACTACTAAGGCTGAGAGACTTTATGAATTCTTTATAACACATTAAAACTCCACTGCATCAGCAGACACTATCTGGGTTGAAAGGAGTAACAGTAAACAGGTTAACACACAATTATCGCTTCCTTTCTCTTTAAGTTGTTTTTCCAACCAACTGCACACGGCCTCCTAAGAGCTGGACCAAATTCTTGCAGACCATTACTCTTCAGACTAATGTCAATAGTGTTAATGAGGCAGTAACAATATTATTTATAGAGCTGCCTTTAAAGGGGGTTTTAGGAGTGATAGTGTTTTGTTAGTCCAGCTGAATTAAAATACATGGGTCCTCTTACTAGCAGCTGGCTCAGCTCCATGAAGTCAAACATGTGGCTCTCGTGCATCTTGGCGAGCTGTTTCCCCAGCTCAATGGCTTTCTCCCACATCTGAGAAGACATGTGCGTCACTCAGTTAAAAGAGAACAAAACACATAAAATACACAGGAGCCATCTGGCTGTCACTTCTGTGCCCACCTCAGGGCTCCAAGGGAAAACAGTTGTTGTGTACCGGTAGCTGCTGGAGATATGAATACTGACACAACAAAGAAACCTGTGGCTTCTGAATGAGCTTAAGTGACTTCCCCACCAGTTTCACCATTCCAATTCAGATGGAAGATTTCAGACATTTGTTTGGTTTATTTCAAAAAGAAAAGACACAATCAGAACTCTTTACACACGCTCACATGCAAAGGCAGGCGATACTCACTTTGCCCTTGTCCAAGTAGCAAATGATCTCCTGGAAGAGCCTCTCTTTCAGCTCTTGTTGGGTCCACACATGCCCCCCATCTCTGGGTATGAGATGAGGTGCACAGGGTTTGTCAGACCACTGGGGAAGCAAAATTACCATGACATTTAGGTAGAAGCAGAGTAATATAAGCAAAGGTTCTACGGTCTAAACCATACAAAATTGATGTTGTTAGAGATGAAAAACAGGCCAAATGTGCCAGAGACCTCCAGTAATTCAGCATGTAGCAGCAGGGTGTAGGCAGCCTCTGTGTAGTTCTCACAGTCCAGATGCAAATCTCGCAGCTTGTACAAGTACCTGATTATAAGAACAAATCAGTTAGACACAGTTATCTCTTTGGTCCAAAGGACAGACGCTTCATGTGTCTAAATGACTCACCGGATGTAAATGTCCTCCCTTTTTTTCTCTTTATAGAAATTCTGCAAGAGCAAAAAAATCTTTATGTCACATTGTCTCATTTTCTCTGAAGCAATTGGCAGAGCCCAGACCTTATTGTATTGCTTTATGTACAGGCACAAACAGTGTTAACTATTGGGTAAATAAAGGCTCAGGGCATACCAGCACGTTGACGGTGCAGCTCATGCGATGCTCAGGACTTTCATCATGTGTGATGGTGCGGTACGCCAGGAGATTCTTCAGCAGACTGCTCAGCAGCAGAGCCAGCTCCTCTCCTGACTGAGACAGGTATCTGTGGCGTCTGCAGTGCTCCAGCAAACTGCACATACAAACAAATAATCTTCACAGACTTTTCTGAAGCGGAAAATGGCTATTTCTGGCTTCTACCACTTTGCCTAGGCCTGCACTTTCCTCGTGATGAGCATATTAAAATAGTGTTATTGTCATTTTTGTCGTGAATCGTACATTCACTCCCAGAGGGCTTTCTATTGATTAGCAGTTACTTACAATTCTCACAGACTATCTTGTCCTTCTGCCTCCTTGAGGACTTCTTTCAAAAACACAATTGCAAAGGCCTTTGTTGTATCTTAGCAGCAATCCCATGTGGACTCCATATCACACAGAATTGAAGGATTTTATTTTTTCTGGTTTTCAGAGTAAATGTTTTGTTTGATCTGCCCCTCTGCCTTACGTTTTCTCCAGAAGGACTTTGTACTGCTCATCCCCTCGACCGCCTTCTACCTCTTGATCCAATTTTGTTATCAGTTCGTTCTCAAACTGCAAAGATAAGAGGTGAATTAAAAAACACACCACCACTGGTATCACAAATGTCATATTTAGCCGGGAGCAGATTGACTGGAAATTAAACAAAAAACATCAAAGCGCTGAACTTCTGAGGTCTTCTTACAGTTTCAAAGGTGCGACCGGGGCTGAAGTTATGCTCGCACTGCATCATATCGAAAAAGATTGGGATGGTGGCTTTCCTCAGCTCGGGCTCGGGCACCAGTGTGACCTCCAGAATGGGGCCGACCATGGCCGGGATGAACTTCATTTTGTGTGGGCCTGAGGGACAACAAAATATTATCACACAGAAATATCATAGTATGATTTCAAAAGGCAATAAGCTGCACCTCCATTTCTCAACAAACAGAAGACAGATTTAATAAAGCGGTAAACAAAACAAAAGACTGTGAAACTGGACAATAAAAAAATATTGTCTTGTTATTCTTCTTGCATTTGTGACAGGCAGTGGATAAACAATTCCAGTAATACAAGTTTACGATAATAGAAGGACAATCAGAGAGAGAGAAATACTCACCCAGATTGTACCACATGTCTCTGATCTTGAATCCAATAGTCTTCCTCATGTCTCCATATCTGTGGACGTTTCAAATCAAACTTTTAAATTAAGTTCTCTTTATTCAAATTGTCTTCTGATGAACTTGAAATGATCTCACTTGTTCAGTATCTTATTTCGTTTCTCTTGAGAGAACGATTCCAGCTGCAGTGTTGTGTGGGTGAGGAACGCCACCGTCAAATGAAAGTAGTTATTCCACAGCTGTGAGGAGAGCAAGGTTTTCAAATATTAATGCCATAATTACCTTCTCATAACTCTAGCTTTTGATTTTGTGTTGAATAAAAAATGTGACCTCTACAGAGGCGGGGGGGGGGGGGGGGAGGAGAGAGAGAGAGAGAGAGAGGACGGGACACACCTGCAGTTCAAAGTGTGCCTGGTCTAAGAAGTACATGTTGAGGACGTCTGAGTACTGGTTGATCGCCCTGAGGAAGACCTGCATCTGCACCAGGTTCATGATCATCCAGTCTGCGGGGAAGACGTTTCCCATGAGGTCCTTAAACATGATGAATGTCTCCATGAGGAAGTCCTGAGGGCGGCAGAAGAATGACATCTTTACTAGGAGTGTGTGCACGCCTTCGCTTTAAAGAAATACAATAAACAGGATCCAGGAGGCTGAAACTAAGCAAACCCAGAGCAGCAGCTCTTTCCTGCATGTCAGACACATGTAATGCTCCCACAGCGTAATGGAGCCTCACTGACATCCTCATCATGTCAGTCCAATCCATTGCATGAAATGTCTCCAATCAATACCCCCTTAAGAAGCATTAAGTGGCCAGGGTGGTTTAATGCCTGTTATTGATGATACGTTTCAGGACAAGAAGTAGCCAACGGGGGAGGAAGCAGGACACTTACAATGATGTCTTGTCTGGTCTTGAAGGTGCCTATGTGGTGGGCGTAATGCATGTTATCCATTTGCTTCAGGATAGCCGTCATGCATGCGAGGTAGTGGCCCTGCCGGAGAACATTTCACTGTTACTTTCATCATGTTAGTGTCCAATTTTCCTTCTTCTACAAAAATAAAAAATAAAAATCACCCACATTGCATGCTCATGGCTGCATTTTTGTTTTTATTGTTTTGATATGGCTGCTAAAAGATGTGTGTGTAGCTGTATTCAGGTAGTGTTGATGTCAGCATGGTTAACATTGTTATGAATGCTGAGGGTGCATTCTTCAAGGACATATTTCAGCTGCGACGTCACAGTGTGTCTTACAATGAGCAGGGAGGATCTGTCCATGCTGATGACAGTGCGATTAACCCTGCGAAGAAGCCGCTCCATTATCAGCTGAACGTGTCCTCGGGTGGGACCCTGCACAGACAGAAGAGCCTCAGGTACAATCACTGGAACAAACACGCTACACGGGGTCACTTCACCCCAATTACAAAATAAAGACAGGTTAAAAAAAAAAATGTTTTTTTTTTTAGTCTTTGGAGAGGATTTGATTTGATTTGCAATGTTTTTTTCTTCTTTTTAGTGACTTTTCTTTGAGCTTTTGTGTTTCTCCTGTTCTTGTGTGCTGCTCGCAGTATTAAAAAAACATTAGAAAAGTTCTGCAGCTGTGACTCTATTCCTGTTACTCTGAGTGACAGAGTGGATTTTTCAGTCAGTTTTTTTAATGCAACTTTGTCAGTAAAAGAAAAAAAGATCTGCTGACAAAGAGGTGAAACAATTAGTCAGTCAGAAGGTTTATAACTCACTGAAAATAAAAATGAAACTACCTTGGTCCCTGTTGAGCCATTTAAGGGTTTTTTCAAGCGAAAAAGGCCAAACATTGAATCCAATATAGTTAGGGTGTTCTACTTTAATTTGTCCTAAAACTCCTAACACTAAATATCTCTCTGTTTCAGGCTGCTGGTCTGAAGAATAAATCATTTTAAGTTGTCACCTTAGGCTTTAGAAAATTGTGATGCAAATTACTTTGTTTTCCTGAGTTTCCAAGAAAAAAAACAAACCTTGAAAATGTTTGTAAGGTGGCTCTTTGGATTATTCTGTGTAGAAAGTAGCCGTCAATTGTCAGCTCTCACAAAGTTATCACAAATCAAATTCTATACACCTCTACTGCATTTTATACTACTAGTCTGGGTCTAGGTCACAGTGGCAGCACGCTAAGCAGGGTAGCTCAGACCTCCCTAGCTTTAGCGCTCCAGCTCCTCCAGGGGGACGATGAGATGCTAACAGTCCAGATGGGAAATGTAATCCCTCCAGCATGCTCTGGGTCCGCCCCGGGGCGTCCTTCCAGTTGGCTATGCCCACAAAACCTCTAAAGTGACGAACAATTCACCTCAACTGGCTCTTTTTCTATGCAAAACAGCAGCGGCTCGACTCAGAGGTCCTCATGGACGTCTGAGCTTCGTACCCCTAACTAGAAGGTTGAACCCAGCCACACTGTGGAAGACAGTCATTTCGTCTGCTTACTTCCTCAACCTCAGTCAGACAAGATGTTCTCTTCTATTATTTATCTGTATTGACCATTTTAAATATTCAACAAGTGATTGAAGGAGAATCTGGTCTCCTCACCACGTCCTTGTGGTCAAGGTTGTCCAACACGGTGCTGAGGAGGTGAACGCAGGCCTCATGGTCAGGTTTACACGAGTGGTCATCCAGCTGCCCACTCAGCTGGTCAGTAACAAGTGGCAGCAGCACGTCTCGACAGTCTGTGGAAGCAGAGGTACAATGTGTTCATTGGATCAAACGGCACTTTTTCCTTTTTTTAAATGGAGCTCACTTGAAAAGCTCATGTTGGTGTAATGCAGAGTAGAGCTTTTTTTTTTTCCCTCCCTTCGTCTTGTGTGAAAAGTCATTATGTGGTTTTTGAGCCTCTAGCACTCCTACCTGGCTGTCTGAAAAGGTCACTCTCCACCATTTTACACATGCAGCCCAGCTTCTGACGCACGAGCTGAGAGTCAGGAATGCTCTCAATGAACTTTGCTAAGAGAACGCTGAAAGAGAGAAGAAAAGACAGAGAAAAGGCCCCAAAGAGCGGCTGTGACAATATTAATGCTTTTCACATTTCATATCTAGTAATTATTGTCACTGGGGGTTAATGAGCAGAACACATGACAGGCGGATTTTAGAGCTGAGCCAATTGAGAATATGGCCTCGTTTACACAGAAGTAAATATTATAATTTGCACTGACACAGGCAATTATCTTTTCTCTGCTGTACAAACCCTCGGAAGAGTTACCTGAGCTCCACGGGATCAAACACAGTCTGGATGTCATTAATGATGCTGGGGAGGTATTTCAATATCGCTCCCTGAAAAAGCAAAGAATCAGGTCTCATCAGACTGACGCTTGGAGTGCGCTTTTGTTCTCTAGTGAAACAAGATTTTTTTTTTCTCACCTTACTGTGAATACCCAACAGGGAGCCTGCATTCATTCTGGTGTTTATTTGTTCAACTTTACAATGGGTTGTCCACAACAGTGTAACACATTTTCACAGCTGGACAGCTGCAGTAATTTGACATGCATCACTGAATAAGCCAAGAGTGATAATTAATGGAACGTGTCCTACATTCTGAGTGGCTGCATTTTATGTTTATATCAAGCTAGAAAACGGTAAACTTGTGTGAGTTTAAAACATCCCGCAAGGTTTCCAGGTGTTCGTTTCTGTTAGCTGCTACAAAAGACTACTAACAATAACAGCAATCTTCCCTTTTCAGCTTACCTTAATCTTCACTCCCTCATCCAGCGGTCTGTCCATGAGTGTGTTGAAAGAAAGGAACAGAGTGCGAATGGAGTTGAAGAATGCGTCCCCATCCTCACTGTTCCCATAGAATCTGAGAATGAAGGACACACATGGCGTCACTAGTGTCCCTCCTTTGAATTTAAGAGTGAAAGGTGTATTCTTATGTGGCAGCGCTTCTCATACCTGAGATAGAGGACCCGGGACTGTACGATAAACCTGAACAGGTATTTGAGAGCTTTGAGTGCTGCATAGAGCCTCTCATTCAGGACGGGCTCCTCGGCGTGGCCCACATAGTAGTTGAGGACCCTGGTTAGCTTCCTGAGAAAAGTGAATGAGTCAGGCATCAAGAACGGATGGTAATTTGGGCGTGGGTGGAGAAAGAGAGCAAAAAGAGTTGCTAAAAATAGAAAGTGTGAAGGGGCGTAAGCAATCAAAGTAGGTAAACACAGAACGCAGACTCACATGTAAGCCAAAGTGGCACTGAAGTGCTTGTTGATGTACGTTTCCAGGACTGGGTTGAAGTGCTGGAATTTGATGTCGCCAATGAGTGTGATTATAAATACCTGGTTAGAAAAAAAAAAAAAGAGGAGGGAAGATCAGAAGCTTGTTAAAGTTCAAAGCATGTAGATAAAATGTTTCTGAGGGATCATAAACTTTTTCATTAGGCATGCCTTACATTTATGATCCCTAAAAAAGACACATAACATTTTAATCTTTTAAGATACTAAATATGAACTGAATCGTTTTTTGCAATTTAATTCACTCACATTCTTTAACTTCTCTGTTGCACATTGAGCTAAGTTCCAGAGTCCACCATATCTCAAATAAATGTAACAACCTTTTCAAGATTTTTCCAGAAAATAATGGACGGTAGTTGTGTTTTTTAAACACTGTTCACCCTCTGAACAGCGTACAAGAGTTGTGTTTAGTTACTGCTACTGCACACAGAACATTATACTGCTTCTGCTTCACAAAGAGCCATGAAGAAGTTGTCCATTAGACTTGTTGTCTGGCCATGAACATGTCATCAGTATGTAAAGGCTTTATCTTGAGCAACTGCAGCCAAGGCGTTCATAGTGATGCAGTCACTTGTTGAACTGTGAAGTGAACAGTTGTGTAATGAACGGAAAGAAGAACGTTAGTGACAGACTCTGCTTGGTTTTCTCACCTCAGCACACCCGGCCAGTCACACTGGAAAGTGGGTTTTAACGTATAGGGAAATATTTATAAATTCTGGGGACATGCACCCCAAATGAGACCACTGGAGAGGAGTCGGGAGAGAAGTTTATGTTTTTGGAAATTGTAATGTATGTTTAGATGCGTCTATATGTAAAAAACTATACACGACTGACACTAAATGTCTAAATGTTCGATATTCCAATACTGTTCAAAACCACCTGTCTTAAACCACACAATCTCTGTTAAAGGGTTGTAGAAAACTCATGAAAAACTCAGGATATTTCCAGGAGGAGCTGTATATGTGAGCACAATCAGCAAGAATTTTCCCACAGACGTGACCCGGAGTTTGTCCTGCCAGACCCCGAGTATTTTTTCTGCATCAAGTCCAAGTGGGCTGATGTGAGAACGCAGACGGGTATTCTCCTGAGAATTCACGTCGAACATGTAGGAGGGGGAGTGACATTTGTATACTGTGACTGGAGTCAGTGCATTGACTGTCTGCCCACGACCGCTACAATCTCCGTGCATGTAATTAAACGGCTGCATTACGGTTTCTGTTTGTCAGTATGTTGTTCTCCTCTCTTTTGTTGACACTGTGATTCCGTTTAACTACACGTAGCATTGATATAAAGGCAAATATTCTTATTATAGCATCGTATAGCGGACTCTGTAGCTTCGTCCATGTCTTACCTGTTAATTAAATAAAAGACATTTCTTAGTCTGGGGTGAACTGGACTTCTCTTTTGTTACAGTGGTATCCAAACAGTAATCAATACTGTTTAAGTTTTACTAGTATTGTATCAAAGTTTAAAATGCTGGTATCTCGACAGTCCTAAGTGATACTACAGTCTGACAATAACAACTTACCAAAGCATTGAACACCAAGGTATCATAGGTTTCCTTCTCTGAGGTCTCCATCATGATGTTGAACAAGGCATCCAGAGTGTCCTGGAGAAACTGTGCAGAACACAGAAAACGGTGTGGATGGATGGATGGTATAAATAGCAAAGTACTTCATATTAGTGCACCAATAATGACATATAGAGAACTTACTTTGACGATCTCCCCTCCTTCGACCTCCATTAGCCTCTGCAGATTCTGTTCCAGAGCTTCAGGGTTAGACCTCCAGTTCAAGAGGCCGAGTAAATCCACTGAGAAAAAACATTAACACATGAGAATATGTTAAGCAGGGGCAACACCTCCTCTGCTACAGGACTGGCTGAGCTAATTGTGTTAAAAGCCTTAAATGTCAATGCAAACCTCATTAGGTCTACATCGATCAAAATCAACACAACAGCAAAATATTAGCTGCACAGACTGACTTTATTTAAATATCCACACAATCTAGGGGGGAGGACATGAAGACGGCACTGCTGCTCTGTCTGCTGTTACTTATTTCAAAGAGGAGTACATACAGAGCATCTTTTAATCATCACAGACGCAGAGAGTTAGGAAATAGAAATGTTTCCCTACAGTACCGTTCTGAGTGAGTTTAGTGGAGCAGGTGAGCGTGGCAATCTGAAAGCTGTCTTTAGTCACAGGAATCACTCCTGAATGGTGGAACTGCTTCCCTGTTTGCTTCTCCTTTTCCTCGACTTCAGCCCAGGTTGCTGGCAAGGAGAGATAAACCTTTGCATCGTCCGCCTTTTTCACGTCAACCTAAGGAATTCATAAAATAAGAAATGCATCATGAAGCATATTGATCGGCAGAGATTTAATTTCATATTCATTGATTGAGGTGAGATTCATGAATAATCTATCTACCCGCTGTCAAACAATATACTGCTGGTTTCACAGATAAGTGCAGTGAATTTAATCAATACAAAGCCACAATCCAGAAACAGCACCTTGTAGACGATAAGTTCATGCCTTCCGTCTTTCAGCGTGGTCCCATCTTCTCTCATGAGGCGGACGAAGGCCATACCGAAGGGCTTCTCCGATTTGTCCCGAGCTGAACGGCATAAAGGAAGCATAAGCTGCTTTTAACATGGTGGCAGGATTACGCGTCAGTGTTTGTCATACAAAATACGGCACAGCCACTCACAGTCCTGGGAAGATCTGTGTCGGAACATCACCCTCAGGTGACAGCGGCAAACGTCTTCAATGGGAATTGTAACCTTGAAGGAAGAAGAGAAAAGCCAGGGGAATTAAGGAGACTGTGAATAAAAGATTAAACATATAGAGGAGAACTATCTGGTGGAAGATTTGTTTAAAAAAGAACATCCTGCGACCAGATTATTTCACTGAATTGAGCTCAAGTAAATCCTTTTGAAACAATAATGAGAGGACATGGGATTCATGGCATCAGACATGCAGAGCTGCACATGTGGTCGACGTCCTCATTCTTACCTTGACTGTTTCATTCCAACAAGGCTGCTTCACCTGGTAGAAGATGACAGACTTGTACACTGTGATACCATCATATCCAGCCCCAGGAAATATCGCTTTCTATGGAGGTGCAAGGAAGGGAATCAGTTGACATTATACCAACAATTTCAATTTCATTGATGTTTATGAAATCAACAATAAATGCAAAATGCATTACAGGAGAATATATATGTTCCCTCTTTATTTCCTAAAATCTCCTGTTGTGACACACAGAGTAAACCTTTCAGATGACTGCATGTTATCAGTGATGTTTTTCCTCTATGTCTGTACATGTGTGCTTTCCTTAGTCAATATCTGGAAGTGACCCGCCTACAGGTTGCTTATTTTAATCTTCTTCAGATGCCCTTAGATTTGCAGGCACAACAGTTTTCTTGACCTCACACATTGATGCATCTGCAATCAGGCACAACAGACGTTGACTATTCAAACTGCATTTGAAACGTTCATCTCCCTTTGTTCCTTTGGAATTTGAACTTCAAAGTTAGCCCTTACCAATCTCTGAAAATGCCAGTGAAGAAAGAGTGCTTGGAGCTACTGATGACCCCAATACAACAATGCTAGAATAGCAGATCACATAGATGTGTTTAAAATGATAGAAAATAAAGAGAAAATAAAATTAAAATAAAATAATAAAGTGAAGAGTCTTTAGCCATGCTTTCAGCTTGTAGTATTAAGATGAATGGCAGTAGTATGTATTGAGCTAAATGCTAATGTTAGCATGCTTACCACCTTATAATGGAAACTTGCACATCTTTACCAACAAATAATTAGAAATGTATCGAGTTTGCATGCCGGTGTGTGCTGCATATACAACTGAGGTTTGTGGGAGTTTCATTAGTTTTGCAGGTATATTGCCAGACATCAAAGTGTCAGATGAATGGAAAGTTTGACCTGATTAAAAATGAAGGGGAATACTAGACTTCTTACAAACCATCCACCGGTGGACACGAATGAGATAACTAACTGACAGTCACACATATCAGCGTCAGAGTAAAGCCAGAGGATCACTAAAGACATGAGGAATAATAATGCGGGGGCCATGAATGTCTACATGACATAAAAAAAATGTAAACCATTGTTACATCCACACGTCTTCTTTACCTCCACTGGATTGCCTTCAACGTCGTGCACACATAGTATAACCTCAACATTTTTCGGCGTCTTCTTTTTGCCACGGTCAAACTCTCCCTGCAGCAAGGTTATGTAAATATCATTCCTGACGTTTCCTGGAGAAAGGACAACAGAGGATCAGGTGGATGTGCTAAGTATTTATGCATCCTCCTCACGGCTTTGTGAGCAATTAAAATGAACATGACCATGGCATATGTAGAGCAAAGCCGAGCAACAAAGACGTCAATCCACCTGGGAGGATGATTTCTGGAAAGCCCATTTTTCTGACGATAGCTGTGCTGCGGTCGACAAAGTGGGGGCAGTCCTTCCTGACCTGGGCCAGATCCCCAGGGAGGAGCTTCAGGGTCACAAACAGCCCTGCCAGCAAACATGTAAAGAAATTCAATGAAGCAGACGACCAAAGTGCACACCTCGAAGACCCCTCACACTTCATTTATTCTCTTCATAACAAAAGGTTCAATTTAGAGTGACCCTCTGAAATCACAGGGGAACACAGTGTCTGGGCACACTTCACTTTACCCTGGCCTTTGTGATTGACCTCCCGCGTTGCGATCACTTTATTGAAGACGGCGGTGAGCGGCTCATTCTCTCCAATGACTCGAGAGGGGATGAGCGGAGACATGATGAGCTGCCTCTGACGGATGTAGGTTTCCATAGCTATCCTGGGAGAGAAGCATCAGAGTGAGTCTAAAAAAAAAAAAAAATCAGCTGCCAGCATCTCTGACAGGTGACAAACAAATGGACAGAAGAGCTGCAGAGGCAGTGTGAGGCTTTCTGGATCTCTTGACAAGATGCACAATTATTCTTCCAAACAGCCCACTTACCTCAAGTGGATCCTACAGACAAAGTCACACAAAGTGCTAGAACTATACCGAGCTTTATAAAGTTCAAGGATACTTTTTCCTCAAACACTGCAATCATTTAGTCCATAATTCATGTTCTTAGAACTCTATATGAATTTATGCCGCTTTCATTTTGAATTTAGGGAACAGTGCCGAGTCAGTTATCATGAATGATTCCAGTGTGCAGGCATGCCAACTTCTTAATGACGATGTAGTTTGAGCAAATTACTAATGGTAACATGCAAACATCCTGACATTACAAAAGTCTTAACGATGGTCCACATTTGACATGTTAGCATGGTAAGGTACAGATGGAGCTGACAGGAAAGGCTTTATTTTTCAATGGATTTAAAACACAAAACAAGGAACTGCTTTAGAGATTAGCATTCATTTATATAAAAATATGTCAAGTAACTTGTCATGTAATCTTATTATGTTTGCAGGTCCAATTCAATACTTATTAAGACATATGCAGACCACAAACAGAGGACTGGATGGGCAAAAGCACTAGAAAAGTGGATTTTACATAAAAGGTGTTTTCGGACCAAACTCATCTACGACTTTTTGAAGAGGAACTATCCACCAGGGAGTTCCCTGAGAACTACACATCATGAGAAGTTTTTTTCTGAAGGGTTCCAACAGTTCCTAGAAATATGAACATGTTCCTGCGGACTGAGAAGTCCTAATACTGTATGCCACCTTTAATACTTAATGATGTTTTTCGCTACATGCTTAAGGGAGACATTAAGGAAAGGTTTGACCACGTTCAAAGGGTTTTGTGTTCGGAGACGAAGTGCAACACTTCATACCGTATAAACCACACCCACCCGAGGGGAAAGAGTTGGTGCCAGAAAATGCAGCGAAGTGCAGAAACGCCACCTAAATGCTGTTAACTATTTATGAATACAAGATTCCAGCATTTCAGAAGATAATTTAAGTATCCGCAGTCCACCAAAGAGGGATGAGTACAGTCCCAAACTCAACACTGTCAGGTGTCTGCAGTGTCCTAAACTCAGTTTTATATAGGAAATGATCCCACACAATAGTTGCCGATTAAATATTTCATAGAAAGAACCTCAGGAAGACGCAATGCGAAATGTGATGTTTGCTCCAATGTTTGAAAACCATTACACTTTTAAGTGTAGCTGAACAATCCTGATGTGCCCTGGATTACTCTGATCTGAAATATTATGACTTCTGATCTAATCACTAGTTAAGATCCTCATTTAACCATCATAGGATCCAAAGAAGCCTCAACAAATTTCCAAGTGTGAGGTTCACAAAGTTTTCTCCTTCTTCCTGCTGGTCCCTCATCTTATTGTCTGTATGCACTTTTGATGCTTAAACACATGTAGTTCTGGGTTCTGATGATCTTTGGGCCTTTTTGACTTCATTGATAGGATTGCGGAAGAGGGAGAGGAAATATTGGGAGAGGAATGTGGGGTAGACATCCTTCAAAGAGTCGATGCCAGGAGTTGAACCTGTGACAGATTAGTCGAGGTCTGTAGCCTCTGTGGGGTGTCTGCTCTTCTTATTAGTTACGCCTGATTTATTATGTCAATGTTTTGACAGTCCTTTGCAGGACGAATTAAAAATAGAGTCTGTAGCTTTTTCCTTAAAAAAAATATATATATCGACTTATAGTGAAGTAATGCTGCTCAATGCCAGACACAGCGGTTAGCTTGTGCTAGTGTGCTAAATTATAGGCTCTAACTAATGTTATATTCTCAGGTAGCTTGCAGTGTGGGTACAAGCAGTAAACCTACACAATAACCCTGCAGTGGGTGTCTGTTTCTGGGGCGATCAGCGCAGGAGGAGGGGGCTCAATTTAAATGTTGTGTTTACAAACTGCAACCAACATTGCTACTGACTCTACCTTGAAATAGACTTTACAGATTGATGTGCTTTGTGCTTACAGAAATGTATTGGGGCGCTGCCTCAGTGAATTGCTTCAGCAACTCCAGAAAAGGTTCAGTTAAACGTGCGTTTTGGAGTTTCCTTTGGTATGACCTTTTTGTGATTAATTTGTAATTGTTCACTTCATGATTACCAGAGACAACTTCGTCCCTCAGCATCTATAAAATATTGAAACATTTGTCACGGCTGAAAAGCTTAACAACTTGTGTGGAACACTTTGTCTTGTGTCAGGGACACACTTGGGGAAGTAGCACGGTATTACATGTCCATGCAGCTTTTCTTCACTTTTAATGAGGAGACATCCCTTTTGTGAAAACACTAACTATGCTTGGAACTATATTAGTATCTCTCCAGTCATTAAAGTCAACATTTAGTGTTTTAGAGATCCTCCGATGATTTAATGATAACATTTCAATCCTACAAAAACATGTTTTTTCCTCTGTACCTCCGTGCGAAGAGACAAATGGAGGTTAAACCTGAGAAAAATGTGGCTTAGATGTCGGGAATCAGTCAAGATATTTTTGGTGCGCTCCATCTAGGATGTCTGTGAACGCATCATTGCCGCATCCGCCCATCTTGCAGTGTGCTGTGAAAACGTGGCCTTGAAATCATGGCTTTGAGAATAGCTAACACTCCAGATTGCAAAAAGTTTTTTTCTTGTTTTTGTCCTTGAAATGCAACATAGCAAAAATTTAACTGCATAGACTTGATGGAACACCGTAAGGAAATATAACTCCAGTCTCATTCTGACTCTTTCCCATTATTTGTGCTGAATTGTGCAACGCTACTAAACAAGGTTGAGCCTGTTAGCAATGTGGAAGTGTGACAAAACAAGACTCACTGCTGAAAAGGGATGAAATGCTGTTTGTCCTCGTCGTCTGTTTTGCCATGAGCGATATCTGTAATGTCCATCACTGCAAAGATAAAAACAACATCACAGTCAGCAAGCGGTCAAGGGTAAGTCTCCTGATGCAATGTTTTCTCACAGTTTTGCTCTTAAAGTTAACTTACTCACTATAACTGTGCAGACTGCATTTCCTACTTCTGAAACAGAAGCAGAGCCATGTGTCTGATTTCACTCACCTGTTGCCGGGCACGGCCGACAGCCAGCCAACTAAAACAGATTGAGGGTTCTTGATCTCCAGCTTGCAAATGCCTCTGAAATGTTCATTCCACCCGGCCCTCTCTGTAAAGTGTTTTTCTTTCTCCTGGCTAAGAATAATGTTATTTCTTTCTGTCTCTGGTTTCAGTCCATTTACTGGAACCGCAGAGGAAGGCATTTCTCATCAAATCCACTAATCATCTGGCCAAAACAAAAAGACGAGTGCTAAACCAATTTCCACCAGCTCCTTTGCCAAGGCCGGGTGGAGGCATTTTCTAGGTCAGGAAGCAGGTGTTCCCATTCCATTCAGCACATGGATCCTTCATTTTTACACCTCCACGCAACTATTTTGTGCCGCCACAAAGGAGTGGCATTTTTTCTTGATGGATTCAACACAAATATTAGGACATTTTCAGAAAGCAGCTTACCAGCCACACCAAATGGTCTCCTCAGTCCTCCGGTGTGTTTCTTGCCCTCTTTGAGCTCCATGCTGCCCACTCTGATGATCTGACACACCAGGAAGAGTCTCTGCCTCATCAAGTCACTGCTGCTCAGGTCCTGGACGAAACAAAGATAAATATTAGGAAATGTTGACTAATGAGGAGCTCGGTATACAATAGGCGGCAGACTAGGAGGTTATTTAGTCCATGCGTATGTCTGGAGCTGCAGACCAGATGGGATGTATTAGGGGATGAAAGCATGCAGCAGAATCCTCAAATGTATCATCTTTCAAACATCTTCAAGTGTTTACTTTCCTGCATGTTTTAGAAATCAGAGGAGACCTGTGTGCTTAGAGATATGGAAAAAATGCTGAGCTCTTTGATTTGATGAATGAGTTTTTAGAAATTAGTCGACCGCTAACTCAAAATGTCACACGTGCAGGTCACATGCAGGTTTACACCAAGTTCTTTGCAGGAAACTGCTGTCTGTGCCATTACCATAAACAGCAGGGAAATAATGGAGGCAAATGTATTCAAATTTCCAGAGAGATGCCGTGAAAGTAAGCCATTCAGTGAAACTTTCAGTAAATTAGGAGCTATCCAGGAGCAAATTGTCTCCTTTGTCACAGATTTGGATTGTTCAGATCCGATGCATTGGGAATACAGCCGGTGGGTTGGGATTCAGTTACCGTGAATAGTGCTGGCAAGTTGTTCAGCTTTTCAATTTCTTTAGGCATCCCCATACTGTCCCAGCGCACCAGGAAGTTCTCGCTGCAAGAGTTTGAATAAAAATCACAGGTAGATGTTAAACTGTAACAAGGCTACAGGAGAAAAATGTAGTCAAAAAACTCAATTCCATTTCACAGCAGATTAAACGTGTTGTCAAAAATGCTTACTAATTAGCTTTCACATTTTTAATAGCTATTCTCAGGAGCCTCAGGAGCAGGGGGCTGAAACTGGCGGCCCCCGGAACAAAGCATGCCCGCCAGCAATGATATCTTGCCTGCAAGATTTAGAGTGTGACTTTTATGAATTGTATTATTTTCTAACCAACAACCCCATGATGACAATCAGTGACAGACATAAACATTCACACAGTGAAGCAGCACTGCGGACACTGGACAGCGTCTTGTGCAACAACAGTTATCACCAGAATCACCTCCTCTTTGGCCTGTTGCCTTCAAAAGCGCCACAGTGCATTTTTTGAACCGGTACAGTACGACTGAGCTACAGAATACAAAACAACAGGCTTAATGTGAATACTGGCCTCTACCGTCTCCCACGATTTTTTGGATCTACTGCAATATGGATGTCACATTCATCCAAAGGCACGTAGTTCTCAAGTTTTTTATCAGTCAGTCAATTCCTATCTTGTGTGTTCATTGAGAAGAAGGTCGACTGGCACAGTGTTTCCCACATATAGACGATACTTGGGTGAGCCACTCAGGAAAAGGCTATTTATGGTCCCCAAGAATATTTTCAACCTGTTTTAATTTATTCATAAAAGTGCTGACCGCACGAGAGAGAGCTAGAGAGAGAGAGAGAGAGAGAGGGAGAGGGAGAGAGAGAGAGAGAGAGAGAGAGAGAGAAGTCCACTGTCCATACATCTCTCCTGTAAATTAGGCTCCAGTGAGTTTAAAAAGAGCAGTCAATAATTCTCAAAATTAAACTGATACACATGCAGGTTATTTTTTTTACAGTACAGAAAGGGAAAATAAAAATTATCAAAAGTATTTCATGACTCAAATAGTTGGTTCTGGCCTGCCATTTAATTAATTATAAAAAATTTGGCCTGAGGCTAACTTGCCGACCCCAGCTCTAGAGCATTTTCTCACAGCGAACATTCTGACTGATCAAACGCAGAATTGTTTCCACTTTCTTCAGTGTCCTTCAACTCTTTAAAGAGTTTGAACATTTAGAAGCACTAATTTGCGCAAGAAACCCTACAGCATTTTGTGCAAAAAAACCTTGAGAAATTATTTTTATAAATTGAAAGAACCCAAACAGGAAGATAACTTCAGCCTGATACTGAATGTTAAAAACAAGAGGAAGGTGAGGAGCAAACCTGATGAACTCGGACTGGTCAGGGTCGTACAGAGACATGAGCAGCTCAGCATCTTCTCCGATGTTGCACACAAAGTTCTTCAGGTTCATGAGCAGACTGTAGGTATGAATCGTACTGAACAGGGTCTGACGCCTCATCTCAAGGTTTTGTAGCCGCTTCTGGAGAAATGCAAGGACAAAATAATGCATGGACATAGATCAGTGTATATATAGACTTTATCTATGTGGGTCTCCCAGGTTTATTCACAGCCACCAACTTACAAATGAAGACCTTTGAGCATTTTTCTTCTTTTATACGAGAGAGAGAGAGAGAAAGAGAGAGAGAGAGAGAGAGAGAGAGAGAGAGAGATTGCCATCTCAGATTGATAAAATACTGAATCGGTCCCCAACCTGGGATCAAGGCCCCCAGGGAGGCAAAAAGATCCCAGTGAGGACAGGAGGCTCCGTCTGTTCCGAGGTTGTCAAAGCTAGAATTACGCATATTATCTAAAATGATGATAAAACACTCACTGAATAAAGTCTTTTAGTAAGAGCTCATGTGTGAAGGTCTAATCCATTTCAATGTCAAAAGAAAAAATGTTCTGCTTATATCAGAAAAGAGACATTTTTCAACGGTAAAGATTCTAATGAACACAATCAATGTTTTTATTTTAATTTAACCTTTATCTAACCAGGAGAGAAACTCATTGAGATTCAGAATCTTTTTTTCAAGAGTGTTCTGGCCGAGACAGGCAGCAGCACAATTAACAGAGTTTCACACAAACAACGAGCAGCCACACATACAAATACAAAAGTACATCAATTGAGTTGTTAAAGTTGATGTTCATTTTTGCTGAGGGGGGGGCTCAGCTTTTCTCAGACACAAGTAGGGGGGCTCCAAGAAAAAAAGGTTGGAAACCACTGAACTTGTTGATGAATTCCTCTTTCTCTCGACCTCTGGCGTGCAAGTTCTTTAAAATTGATTTTCTTAAGCGGTTGTTTTAAATCTTTATGCAGCAGCTGCCGATGTCAATCTGCACAATTTATACATGCATCATTTCAATATGCTAAGTCAGCGATAACAAGACTCCTGCACATATGGCTCACCTGTTGTGAGAAGGGTTTGGAGGAAAACTTAATTCAAACAGGAGATGGATGTTGTCTGTTCGGCTCTGTGTGCCTCAAAAGAGACAATTAATACAACCAAACTTTAAAATATGCTTTTTTAAAGGGGTTTCCTACGGATACAAGAGGACAATTTTGTGGGCCGGAGTTCACGGAGGAAACAATGGAGACTCAACAAGTCCGAAAGATACAGGAGGAAAAAACTTCTGTGGACACTGGAGGACAGAAAGATCCAAGTCACTTAGTGGTACAGGTTTGGAAACACTGAGCCCATATCTTCAAACCCGGAGAGCTACGAGTGGGATTTGTTACTACAGTACAAAACAGTACTTCAGGACAATCCTGGATCGGAGGACACAAGCGCCTCACACATGCCTGCAGTCTGCATCAATCACCAACCAGTGTTCCCTGTCATACTGAACTCAGCTGTTTTACCAACCCTCTTCAATATTTCACAAATTCAATTAAAAAATCAGAAGAGCTGAAAGGAAGTTTGTCGCCAAAGTAAGTTTTCGCCTCACACCGTTTTTATTCATCGCAAAGAGAAACAACCCACAGTCCGCACGAGAAGTTCATTTGATCAAAACACACTATGTGTCTGTTGTTGAAGAGGAACACTGTGACTGTGTGACATTACTGTGATGTGTCAGCCGACAAAATCAAACTTAAAACGATCTCAAACTGGAATGCAGTAACATAAAAATTCACAGTTTGAACCAATTCTCAGTCTACCAGTATCAAGTTGATATGTTACACTATAGACCCAAACAGCTAAATATTTCAAGTTGACATTCATTAATTATTCAGTGAGTCTGTTATCATGATTTAAGTTCATATGTGCAAATTTAGTTTTGACAACCTCAGAACAGAAAAAGCCTCCTGCCCCTACTGAGATCTCTGACGCCCCCCCGGGGGGGCCGAGGCTCCGAGTTTGAGACCAACCGCCTATCTAATACATTCAGTTTCATTTAAGCACATTAACCCTCCAAACCCACAACATATATAAATGTGATCATTTTGAATTAACTCTCTAAGACATTCAAGAGAACCATTAATGAAAGTCCACTAAATGACAATTTCAATTTATTTCAAGGTATTATCACATGTCAAGCTACAATGTGAATATTAGGATATAAAAATCTAGATCAAACCTTCTCCTCTTGAATCCTGTCATCAACGCTGCGGGATGCGGTCTCGTGTGCCCTGAACAGACTGACCGTACTGGTCTGGTCAGGGTCCAGTGTGTTCCCTGCTTCATCTCGCACCACCAGGTCAAGTCCCAGAATCCTGAGCAGCACGGATGATCAGAGAGCATCACTTGAGTTATCTTAGACAATCACACAGCCATGACTCACACGAATAAAACTTTACAACAGCTTCTATGTCACAAGGCAATTCATTGCAGTACAATAAGGAAGCAGGATTCATACCGGTTTCCATAATCAATCTTTGCTGTGACTTTCTTTCTGAGCTCCACAAGGTCATCTTTAGGCAGCGTTCCTGACACTATCTGAGATCGATACTCAATGAGGCTGTAGGCCATCTGCTGAACACTCCTGAACTGGGATGTCTTGTTCGCCTGTCAGAACAAAACGGAACAAAAAAACCCTTCACTGTTGTGAGGCAGGAAAAAACAAGTCAAAGAGTACTGTGCACTCCAGATAGACAGGCTGATAAGAGAGAGGAAATCCATACTTACCACATAGAGCTTGTGCCATATCTGTGCCCATTCTCTCAGAGTCGCACCGAGCTCCTGCACCAGGGGTAAATCTGCTGGAATAATTATTTCCTGCTGGCTACCAGCCAGAAAAAGACAAAACGAAGATATTGGAAAGGAAGCTTATCACTAGCTGATCATGTCACATCATTTAAAAAGGACTGATGTGCATTTTTAAACATGATAAATAGTTACCCCACAAAGCCAAAAAGAGAATAAGTGATTCCTCACTCGTGCTGGTTATGAGTGCACTGATATTTTAGTGACAAACGGTATTGGAACACCTAAAGCATAGTTTGCGCTACAAGCATGATGTTATGTTTACTGATATGAGATCTCACCCTATTCCTTCAACTGTAGCCTCCTTTAAGTGGATGTAGCATGCTGGGAAAATGCCCTGAGGAAGCAGTAAGGTAATATTAGCATACGCACATCACAGCAGTAGTTAGAGGATAATAAAGTGCTGATAAGGAACTTACCTTCTGTGATTTCTTGCGTAGCGTGTATCCCCTATACCAGCCTGAGCAAACAGAAATAAAGAGGGAGACATGTCACAGAGAGACAGAGGCGGTGCACGAGGCAGGAGTGATGACAGTCCAGTCCGTCAAAAAAGACAATGTGTGAGACTCATTTACATGATTATGCATAGCTTATTGAGTGCAGCCTAGTTCAGAGATTCATTTAAGTGCCTGTGCCAGCTTGCTTAAGAGACGGGAAAGAGGGACGTGTCGGGGCCTGTTGTGTGTTCAGGCTCGCTCACCTTCCAATTTCTCAAGTATGTGCACCGTGTCCCCCACCTGTAGACACAGCTCCTGCTCTCCACTCGGATCATAATTGTAGATTGCTGAAGGACAAAAACGGGACGTCTCATTAAGAGGAACACACAATATTCATTGAAAGCTGTTGACAAAGACAAGATTTCTTCAGATAGTATGACTGACACGTTTCCCCCCAACCATATGGTCCAGCGGATTAGGAAAAACCCAAACCCCCAAAAAACACTCTTTGCACACAAGAGCACGTCTGTTTTTAAAAGAAAAGTTCTGGATCAGAGGCTCACACTTTCTCCCAGAAAACGGAAACCAATCCGCCCCCCATGTCTCAGAACTTGAACTCGAAAGCATTGAGGATCTTGATCTTTGATTTATTCCTAAACTTTCCAACAGCGGGCTGTGTGTTTGTGCGGCAGAACAGTGTGACTCAAACCTTTAGAGCATTTTGACGATTCTTAATTGAACCAAAAGCCCCGCGGCTGTGTTTAACGCTGCAGTAAATGGGACTGTGCTGCAGCAGGTAGCTTCAGTGTCAAAAGTCAGGAGCAGAGATGGCATCACACCCTCTATTTTCTGTTATTATCTTTCAACTGTAGTCTTTGGTAGGTAGTTACACTCTGCAGGGTTTCTTTACTGCCAGCTGGCTCACCAGTGAGGCCTGGCCCTGCCTACACTCAGTTTATTAACCTAACGGCTTTCCTGGAGGAGACTCCTATCTCTCCTTTGTTACTCTCTAACCAGGACACGTATGGGAGGGATCACACATGAACACGTCAGGCACAGACACAGACACGTACTACGCAAACACACACACACAAAAACCAGACAAGCCATTCCAAAAGAGAAACTTTGGCAAACAATACTGTATCAGAGGTCTTTGTCATGACTTGAGGGAGCCGCAATAGTGCGCAGCCACTCATTCTCTTAGGGAAATAGAGGAGCTATGAGCAGAGCTCTGCCCTGACTTGCATGGTGATAATGCTTGTTGCTGGAGGCTAGATTTCACAGCACGCTTCAACTGGCTCAGCTTATCACACCTCAGTCTGAATACCAAAACTTGACTTGACTGAATGCGACTACCCTTCTCTCTCCATGATTTCCTCCTCCCTGATAGATTCTTCCAGCTTTCCATAGGAAAACATTTGCCCAGACAAAACATCTCCACAGGGAATCGCTTTTTTATTCTTGGACTGTGTGTGTTTGTGTAACCAGCCCCTGGGCTCTTAAAATATTAAGTAAGACCCATGCTGCTTTATGTTGTATATGGGATATGTTATCACCTGCACAGGTTCATGCAAATGAAGCCTGGCTGTGAAGTCAGTCATCCGGGCAGCAAAAAGAAAAATATGCACTGGAACCATTATGGGTCCAGAAACTCAGCATTAGCAAAACACCTTCTTTGTCTCTTTTGACCCTTTGAAACTAAATGTATAATCAGCTCCTACAGCGTTTTGCATGCTTTTCTCTGACTGTCGAGGATTAAAATGTCAGATATTGTTGAAGCAGTTGCAATGAAAGTGGTGATCTTTTAATGCTTCCTTTTGTGTAACTCATTACACTTTTACTGTAAGAAACCCAGAGCCTCTAGTTGGTAGTCTACTCTAAGTGATGTCATCCACTAGTTTCTGAAGTGGAGCTTTGAAGCCTTGTGATGGTGGTTCCTCATATTAGAAAATGCTTTCTACTACTAACTTTTCTTCATGAAACAGGCAAAGAGCTGGAGCTGAGGAAGAACTTTTAGCCTCCTGAAAAACATCTACAACTCACCCGCCTGTCAGTCAGATCGGCCACACCACTAATTGGTCTTACCCCTAAAAGCAAAAGAGCAAAATGAAACATCTCTTAACTGTTTACAACTAGAACAAAATGCTGCAGCCAGACTATTAACCAAGTCCTCCAAAAGGTCACATTTAACTTCAGTTCTGTTTTCTTTGCACATGGCTTCCCACAAATTTCTGAATATGCATGGACCGGCAGCAGCCTACCCTCACAGAACTTCTATGGCCTTAAACTCCCGACAGATCTCTTAGGTCCTCTTGCTGGTGGTTCCACCCTCCAGTCTAAAGACCAAAGGAGACTGTGCTTTTGAAGTCGTAGCTCCAACACTTTGGAACGCTCTGCCTTTGGTTTTAAGATATGTGGGCACTGTTGACTCTTTTGAAAAGCAAATGAAGACCTATTTGTTTAGACTTGCTTTTGCTTAGTTTGTTCTGTATATTGTTGATGTTTCAGTTTATATACTTTTTGTAAAGCACTTTGTGACTCTCTGTACTCGAAAGGCGATATATAATTAAAGTTATTATGATATCAGAATGATTATGCATATGCTTAAAAGAGGCTTAAAAACGGACAGTGTGCAAGAAAGAAAGTAGCTACTCCATGTTATAAACGTGTATATTTCTGCTGTAAAAATAGGCCTTTTAACACAGATGTTCATGAGATGGACGGACCGGCTTTTGGAGCCAGCCTCAAGTGGACACTGGGGGAATTGCAGTTTTGTGCACATCCACATTGAATTAATTTTTTACTACCAGATTTTGACTCTTGGAATTCACCAGCTCTCGTTTTCGGAGTAAAAAACTGTAGCACGCTGCGTTCAATAGATATACAGATAGAGTAAAGATCTCCTTTTTTTTTTAAATGACAACATCAACCTTAGAGTATTCACATTCTTCATTTCAAAAAGGTGTGTTGCCGTTTTGTGACTTACATGGCAATACTCACATCGCTATAAGAGTGATTGGTCAAATTTGAGGAAGAATTTCAGTGATTGGCCAAAACTTCAAGCTCTCCCTGTGTGCACAGGGATGAATAGAATTTGCTCAAGGAACAGTATTCTTATCACAGAATCTCTTACTACAGCACAAACATTGACCTACAAAAGGAAATGTCACCTTACAAACATATATACTGACATAGGCCTATACTGCGAGATCTCTTCTCACAGAGTATTTGTTTCCAACAGGAAGTTATTTGTGCAGCCACAACAATATCGAATAAAACATGCACTGAAGAAATGACATCTGCCTCTGGTCACGCCGAGAGTGACAATGGTCCATTCACAGGCTTGACACAGTGTGCAGGCCTGGCAACAGCATGGCAATTTGCCAAAGTCAGGGTCCCAGTGGAGTGTGTTGTGATGCCACACTGTCTAAACTAAAGGCAACAGCGTGGGCCTTGGCAACACGGCTCATCTGTCCAACTTTGAGACAGAAAATCTTCCTCTTAAAACCTCCAACACCGAGCTTGAAGCTGCCGCTGTACATTCCAAGAAAACCTCTGTCTGTGTTCACGTTAATGTGCATACTAATTCTAAATCAAAGTCAGCTTCAGTCACTCTAAATGATTTATCATAGATGTGGATTAGCCGCCAACAATTAAAGACCACCACGGCTGAACAGTTCGAAGCAGCTGCTGGCAGCTCGTCAAACTTAGCGCCGTTAAAAGTAAATCTATTGTTCTCACCACTGAGTGGCTGTGAAAGCAAAACATAAACAACTCCTACAAGTTACAGCCAGGATACAACTCACAGACAGATAACAAAGAGCGAGAAGACACACACACTGACTCACACGCAAAAATGAGTCTAGCCACCAAACCTTGATTTTACAATGTTACAGACAGATTGTTCCCCCGAATTCATTTCAGTCTCAGCAGGAATAACTTTCAATCTAACACACGGAGAAAAAAAAAAAGGAAACAATAAAAGACTTTGAAGTGCCAGGCATATATCAGGATGCACAGATTCTAGTAACAAAGCCTGTAAGTAAAACAGGTGTCAGCTTGAAAGCATTAGAATCAGGAAAAAGGGAATATTATTGCTTTAAATCAATAAAAGACAGAAGCATTTTGTGAATTTATGAAGGTTCTCAGTTGCTAATAATTCAGTGATGTAATAATTAAGGCCTGACTGATTAATCAGCCAGCCGCCACTAGCATTTTCAGTGACTATCATTATCGGCACATTTTTATCGCAGGTATTACGATAAGAGTTATTCACCAGTCAAATAGAATTTCATTTGAGTTTCATTGTATTACACTAGCAGTTCTCTGTGGATTACAACAAGCATTAATCACTCTCCAGAGTGTCACGCCGTGATGCACGTACATGCGCTTTTTACTTTTTAGTAACTTTCCAGTTGGGTGACCATCTTGTCTTCATGATCTTTTCCAGTGTTTGATGTGTGGGTTACTGTGAGGTAAGCTAGCTAGATGGCTGAGATAGGAGGAATAAAGATGTGATTGATAAAGATCTTTGTTTGAAAACTGCAGAACACAATCCCAGCAGTGCTGATATTCTGTACAACAATCATGACCTTGAGTTTTGATGTTGTTCAGTTCTGATTCAACGAGCCATTCGCAGTTTCACTATACCGACCATGTGCTCTTAGACTTGCATGGCTTAATCTTTCAGACACGCAAGCAAGTTGAAGGCCTCTGAATGTTTGTCATGCGTTTGAATGTTGTGTCAAATGTCTGTGTACATTTATATCCATCTATCTCTACAGATTTCATAGATCTAAGAAAGATATCGGCCGATATATTGAATCTTTTTTTTTCCTCCTCAATATCAATATTGGAATAGGCCCTAAAAATCTCATATCGTTCGACCCTAGTAATAATAGTATCTCTCATAAACATGAATTCAAGCATATTCATATCAAGAGCTTCCACAGCAGGGAGAGGTACAGTAACTCTACATGAAGTCATTCAGTAAAAGTAGGTCTCTTAATGTCTGTTTTTGAGCCAACTCTCCTCAGGCAGGACGTTTCTAAAGTACAGAAGTCCTTCGCCTCCCGTCAGCCGTCTAGACAGCCAGAAACGATCTGTAGCTCGTAAACGGTGCTCCAGCTAATAAGTCCTTATAGGTTACCCATAAATCAAAAACTTAATTCTCAAGTTCAAAGCTTATAGTGCAAAAAAAGGGATAGAATTAGGTCCAGTGAGGGTTCATCTTTTAAGTCTAGTTAAAGACCCTGCTGCAACATTTAACAGACAGAAAATGACTACTGCCTTATCAGAGGGAGAGAGAGCACAGATGTCTTTATCCAGATCTGTAAAGAATTTATGACTGATGAGTCGTCTCTGTAGTTCATGAACACTAAGAAAACGGGGTCACCTTAATCAGGTTTGACATTGCAAGATGAACACACACAGGGATGAACTGATTGTGATCTTCGGAGGCGGCCAATTATTACAACTTTGGATTTATTTTAAGACTCCAAGCAGCAAAGATACCTACAGAGCAAACAACTTCGAGCTCTTCATATTTTTGTGGGAAACTGGTTCGTCATTTATTGCAACATATTAAAAAGGAGGAAGTTGTGATATTAAACTGAAACACTTTGTTGAAAAAGGGTACTAAATCAATTCTGCATGTTTGCTGTGATGAATCAAACGTAGATCATAATGATTACACATTAAAGTCATGTGAAATTGTACAGAATTTGAGACTTAAAGATTATGATTACATTCACCTGGAAAAGTAGAGATGTACGAGCATGATTTGTGATTTTTTAGAAAGCAAGTCATGGCCCAATAGGAAGCTTGCACAACTGCCACAGTATGTGGATACCTGCTGCCTGCAGTGCAGTTAGTGTACTATGCAGTTAAGTAGGATACTTTGTGCTTCCAGCTGTTTCACTTTTACAATGAAAAATGTTTGCATATATTCAAAATGTGTGGACTGCTCAGAATTTTTATCTGAACCTTTTTTTCTAAAATCCCTTTCAGAATTTTTTTTTTTTTTTTCAAAACACAGTGACTACATCCTAATTCCCCAACTTAACCCCACCTCCTGACCCAAACCCTCTGTTATGAGAGCTCCCGCTGAGGATAGTGTGTCTCGTTTGCTTTAGGGGATCGAGGGGTCCTGGTGTTCTAACCCTCCAAAGGTCCCTCCCTGTAGAGTTTCTTTTGCTTTTTTTTTTTTTCCCCAGGTAGAGCCTCCAGATGGAGAGGTGGAGGAAAAGTCCCCGACTGCCTCAGTCTGTAAGAATGCTTACAGACTGTGGCAGTGTAACACGCGACATGGCTACAGCTGCAGGGAAAAAGCCCATATCATCACGACGCAGAAGTTAAAAAATGAAATTGGTTGTTTTAAATGTTTATGGAACAAAATAAATATTGGGTCATTATACCAAGCAAACACAAACACACATATCCCGTCTGACAGGGATTAATGTGTGCAGTTATAGTTGTCAGACAGCCATGTTTAAAGGTGTGTTGTAAAGGTGGAGTATATCTTTAATAGTGGTGGGCAGTGAATTTCAGTTTTGTATCGCTCTAACAGAAAATGATAGCTGACTAAATGTGCTCTTCCTAAATGGAATTAGAAGGTCAACTCGTGTGGTGCTTCTAGTGATCTGACTGCTGTTATGTTGGATTGTGAATGAGTTCAAAGGAGGACGAGTGGTGTTATGCTGTATTTTGTAGACCAGGCAGATGTTTTTGTAATATAGAAGAAGATATACTTTATTAATACCGCGAGGGGTTTTACACTTTGTTATTGAACCTGCTACACACAGGCTGAAATACATGTCACACATGCACAAACAGGATCGGACATGCACTAATGGAGAGATGTCAGAGTGAGGGGGCTTCCCTCAGCGAGCGCTCCTGAGCTGGTGGGATGGTTCGGCAACTTTTTTAAGGGCACCTCTGCAGTGCCCAGGAAGTGAACTGGCACCTCTCCAGCTACCAAACCAATTTCCAGATTTGATCCCCGACGGGACTTAAAACAGTGTCCCTCCATTTCCCAACCCAAACCCCTACAGACTGAGCTACTGCCGCCCCGAGGCACCCCAAGTATAGTTTGTCATGTTCTGACAATAAAGAATGTTCAACCACAATTAACCATCTGGTTTCTTCAACTTCCACTCAGAAGCAAAAATAAGTCTTACAATTTGAAAGAAATAATGATTTGACATTTATCGTGCTAATCATCTAAATCAACTGACATGAACATTTTTACTTATATCGCACAGCCCTACTTGCTCCTGTAACTCCCTTCTGGAGGGCCACTACTTAGTCACTGTAACTCCAAACTAGGGGTTGGGCCAAAGGGATGGAATTGGTAATGGGCTATTTTTTCCAATTTAGTAAACAATTCAACACACTGATCCCATTACCATAACCAATTAGTCAAAAACAACAACACTGGTTTCAAGCCAATTATCAGAATTACAAACAAATACGACAGCTTATTTCTGGCAGAGTGTAATGTCAACAAAGCAAGTGCAATGTCAGTGATTAGTCTTATTGTACCAGTATGCATATATTTATTTAGTGACACGAGATTGCTACTCAAGTCTAGGTATCAAATCAGAAAAGAAAAAAATCTGAATGTCTCTGGCTGTGTCTACTAACCAACAGGTGCTATGGCGTTAGCAACATACTAAAATACGGATTATGCGATGTACTTCTGATCTGAGCTCATTCGATGAGCTAGCATCATGATAGCTAACATGATCGCCGGTACGTAATTTAACAACAATGTGCAAACATTGATTACTAATAGGACAAAGTACTAATTTTAATATTATTTGGCAACATGTTAAATGTATTTCAGCACAGAACTTTTATTTTAAGCCGCTAGTTGGCTGTATGAGTGGACAGTCTGAGAGTGCAGTGCATTGTGGGACGGTTTAGTATGACCAGTATGCTCCTGTATCATATCCTACTTATAATCCTGGCCGATCCGGGTATTTCTCGCATACACAAAATTGCATACTATGGTTTTGGTTTAAGACACAGCCTCTGTCAGACTGTATATCTCTAAACATTTTAAGATTAGAAGGTTTCTATAGATGGAATTCAATTCAGAAGAACAAGAGATCTCCTCTTGCTATCCTCTCTTAGTTCTGTGATAGATTTTCTGTTTTATTCTGGTGGGCAACTATTGTGAACTTGACCAGAGGTCTACAGGCCAGCTGGCCTCACTGTGTTTGAGCTGTGTATAAGCTGGTCATGTTTAAGCACCAACCAGAATTTTCACAAGTGACATCTTTTTTATCAGATTTCATAAAGCTCCCTCTGGAGCCACATGTTTAGAGAATTTTTTTATCACTTGCAGGCTTACTTTGCAAGACCTGTAAACAATCTCTGATGCTTAAGAAGGGGGAACTCACCTGTCAATTCCTGCGTAACTGTTATCTCGCGAGGGCATCACTTGTAAACTCTCAATATCAATGGCGAAGTCTCACTGGGTTTTAATAAAATTCATGAAAGCATTTACATGATGCCCATTAAAGAGGCATTGCCCAAAAAAACGTATTAGAGCCACGGACACATTTACTCCCAAAAAACAGAGATCCAACAAATTAAACTAATGAGGGAGCCTACATGTTTTTCACCTGCTGGTTTTCAAAGCTCAGATGAGTCTCTGGAGGATTGCCTCTCTAAAGGATGTAGAAATTAAGCAGCAATCCTGTTATAGTGGTGCCACATATTCACAATTAAAGACTGATATCTTAATCCCCATATTACCCACATTTCCTTGTTAGCTAGCATGATATTGCTGATATTATCAGAGACTTGGTGATCTTGTTTTTCATTCCTAAACGTAGTTGCCTGTATTTCGGCACATCCTGGGATGATAATCGGATTAAAAATGTAAGACCTTGTTCAGGGTCTGATGGCATTTTAAGGATTAAGTACAGTGTGGGTGACTTCTGCCCTGTTTCTGAGGCGAATGGCAGGAGAATAGAGTAGTCAACACCATCACGCAGGGCAACCGTTTTAAACGCCATACTGGGATCTAAAAGGATTAACACAAAACATTCCTCGACATCAGCTGCTAAAACAAGGTCGTATATATAATCAAGAGAGGGACTGTGAGTGCTGCTCAACGCAGTGCCCCACACCCACGTGAATTTGTGGGTTAAAAATGTTTTTAGTCAACAGAGCATGCAGCACTGTCTTTAAAACCTGAGATAAAGTCACTGAAAGATCCAGGTCAGAGCACGAAGCCGAGGTATTTCCAGTCCTGGGCTCTGATTCACAAACACCCCAGAGAGACTACACACACTGGGCGTTTTCGCTATCACAACATGCAGGCTTTTCTTCAGGTGTAGCACAGCTGCTGCACACAAGGAAACAGTGCATGTAGCTTTAAGCACAGATTCAGCAGTGAGTCAGTGTGGTAACGGTAACCAATGACCAGCCTATACCTGTGCTGACAATAAAGTCAAACAGTAAAGTCATTACAGTAACGCTGAGAGGAATAATCGAGCCAGCTAGTTGTGCAGATCTGCCCTGAGGGCGTGGAGGAAGACCTGATAACAGGAACATGCATGCACAGTGCTTTGTACAGTATGCTCACAAAAACACATTCAGGGGGCAGAGCCACACCTTACTGAAAACTACTGAAGTGCAATTTAAAAATTGTGAAGCAATACAAAGTTTTGACACACAAAAATGACTTAAACATTTAAAAGATAAACAGTCCTCTATATGTTAACTTTATGTAAATGCTCCTCTCTTATCTGACATGCATACAGCACAGTCACAGCAGAGGCTCCCATGTGGGGCCCTACTACAGGAGTCCTTGAGGGGTACTGTAAGGCACCTTCCAGCAAATTGAGACTTCATTGAAGTTCGCCTTAACTTCAACAAGTCCGCTCGGCGAGATTTAGCACAATAATGACTGATAACCTGTGCTCATTTGGACTCTTGGCTCCTTCCCATTTCCCCTCCACGCCTCATATGGACAGTGATAAAAGTCATTTCTTACTTCACAGAGATATGCAGTCTCTATGACAACGAGGAGAGTAAATGTGGAGTTTTCTGCGTTACAGAAGAAAAGTTTGTGAAACCAACCTGAGCTAATTATAGGCTATCCGTCGTGTCCCACCACCACCACCAACAACAACAACAACAAAGTAACCACTGAAACTTTGTGTTTCCCAACTCCACAGTCCCCTCTCCCTTCAAGTTAGTTTAGTGGCTGGAAGTTTACTCGGAGAGTGAAAAACACACGAAGCAACCATATGAGAACTTACCGACTCCGTACTTCTCTTTTTTAGTGGGAATCCAGCGGGTCATTGTGGGGAGAGACGTAAGAGTTGGTTGGATGAATAAATAACTATGTACAATTGCTGAACGAGGACAGGCGGTGCACTCCTGCTCGTCCTGAAGTCTACAGTTCCGCCATCATGACTTGTGAACGGGGAGGGGAGGGCACACACACGCACGGCGGGGCTGGGAGAAAAGAGAGCCTCCTACACTTCAGTCTAGGCTACCCCCACAATAACAACCCATAAAATTCCCATTACACCACAGACACTCTTTTCAGCAAGGGGTTATCTCCAGGAGCCCTGTCCGAGGAGCATGTTCATCCCCATCATCATTCAATCGATAGCTGTTACAATTCCTCATAAATCTTCAAATGATCCAGAATTGAATTCTGGGAAATTATAATGAGACTGAAGTAGGCGACCCTTCGTTTAGCTTCAAGGACTCCTGGTGGTGTTGGCACTTCACTTTCAAAACAACTGGCTCACCATTTGACAATCTTGTGTGTTATAAATCACTTATGCGTCATAAATAAATGATCACCTGGTTATTGTTTTTAATTTAAAATGAGATTGAGTTGCAAACTCCCTGCTGCTGCTCACATTAATTCATTTAGAGCCACTGTACTCAGAGCATGAGCATGAATGGACTTCACCAGGGACATAATCATATCACATCAGGCTATATTTGGGTTGGCCATGCAGCTGTTTCATATAAGCAACAGAATTAAATGTCTGTACAGAAGACTACGTAGGCCTAGGTATACTAGCCCGAACAACTTTGTTGAATTTCCATTAATGAGGCTGTGACTTAAATGCCATTCAGCATGGCCAGCATATCCTTAATGTTGCTCAACACCCTCCTTGCTCTCCCAGTAAAGTAATTTACAGCTGCTGGTGGAGATCTGGTAGCCCACTTAGCCTTTTGTTTGCCCACCGTGTGTGTGTGTGTGTGTGTGTGTGTGTGTGTGTGTGTGTGTGTGTGTATGCATGTGTACGTGTGTTTTCTGTGGCCTCTGGTCGGCCAAATGGTGCTGTCAATAATGTTCAGCCATTCATCGCTTTTGTTGTTCCCTTTGACAGGGTGATGCCCATTTATTTTCCATCCATTGTGCTGCTTCTGCTTTAAAAGCAGCTTGTGGCGAACGAGCAGCAACATAACACAACACATTCTGATTGAAAGCTATTATTGAACCTTATTATTTTGTAAAGGAAAAAGCTACTGAGTTACTGCAAAATAGGACTCTGAGAGGCTGGTTAAAACTATAATCAAGAATACCGAAATTTCAATGTCTTTAGATAACATTTGATTTTGTTGCTCTTTTTAACACATAACACCAAAGAGAAGTTACACAAGGAGCATAAATATGTGAATTGTTCTGAAGTATTCAAACATATTGACTGGGCTTATCCTGAAAAGCAGCTATGAGAGATGTATTTTACAGCTACATGTAGAATTTACAAGGTTATGGCTCAAGCTGCTACACATGAATATCATGACCTATTTTCTGGCTGAGCTGTAGGTGCCTGCTCAGTATTTGATTTTATTGGGAAAAAAGAGCCTTGAAAGTGATTGTACTCTTTTCACCCCTGATTTTTGGAATGCCTTCAGCCAACAATCTCACACGTCTCATCTGAGACGTGTGAGGAGTTGCTTTGGGTGATCAGAAGTTGAAAACAATCAAAAAGGAATACAATATTGCCATCACCTGACTGCTTTGTGCTATTGCATACAATAGACAGTTAATCTTATCCTTAAGAGTTTTTTGTATTTCTATGAGACTTTTAATTAATTGCTTTCACCGTTTAACTTTTCCCCCACACAATCTTTAAAGAGAAATAATAAATTCAGATGGTGGGGTTCTGGTCAGGATTTGGGTTTGCGTGCATGTCTTGCAGTAGAGTTTGTGACATTTTGACAAGCACAGCTGAACTCTGGAGTTCATTTGGAGTTGAACGCTCTATAAGCAATCGGAGCAGACAAGCCCGAGTCTTCACAGGAGATCCCCACTCGGCACATCTTCTAATTTGGATCAGAGTGGGTTATGTCTCAGATAAACCTTTTTTTTAAAATAAAAACTCCCCCACAAGATGCTTAGTGATAGTGGTTATATAAAGAAGAGAAAAAAATCCATCATCCAACTGTGTGCAGATGTGCGAGATAAATGGAAACAGGTGCACACGTGGATATGGAGCTGAACATAAAGACTGATTGCTTTCACATTCTGTTTGAAAGTAAGGATAAGGCTTTGATGAGAGTGGGCTGCAGTTATTCAAAATTGAAAATATACTGTTTTTGTAAAGAAACATACTATTCTGGCTGCTTACTCTGCCAGAAGGCCTCAGTGTGCATCCTCACCATGAATGAACATTTGGCATGAATATGAAGCAGGAATAATATATATGTTCCCATATCTGGAGTCCTACTTCCTACACTCTGGGGGATTGGATTGTTGTTTGTTTGTGTGTGTACATGCTTGAGTGCATGTGCCTGTGTTTATTTTATTGTTATGGGAGGCAAAAAGATGAAGCATCTCATATGAATGCAATGTGCCATTTAAAAAAAAAGTTGACCTGATTTGACTCCACTTACTCAGTAGCTGACATTACTAAGCTCAATGAACTGTGATTTCTATGATGTCAAGGACTTCAATGCTTCAGCGGCATCTGAGAGGTAGGCTCTTAAAACTGGTCGTAGCCCCCACTGAGGTGTTCAATTCCTGGGACAAAAGCAGACAAAAGGCCCTTAATGGATTTATGGGGCCACTGCCAGCACTGCATGACGCCGTAGGCAAATTGGGTCCTGGATTCCACCTGGTAGTCTGGCAGCAGAATCAGGTACTAGTCTGGTCCCGCTATGCTGTGCAGATTAGTCAATGCACTTTTGTGTGCACTGGGACTTTACATCCTGCGGCAATGTTTGATATGCAGAACACTTTTGTTGCAGGTATATATCGAAACTTTTTGACTTTTACAGAGTGCCTTTTAACAGATTTGTTTCTTTTAGCGCCTGCAGCATGACGCACAGCAGATCCCGCGTCACCATGGTCACTGATGCAAGCTGTCAATATTTATCTGTTCTAATATTTGCACCTTCCTGTACATTCACTCTGTTTGTGAGATATCATCCAGTGGAAAGGCACATCCTGGCCAGGTAAATTGTGTTATTTTGCACAGAACAGCTTCACCTGCAGCCCAGACTGAAGGAGCCCAGACGTGACAGCAGGAAATATACAGTGTTCACATGTGACCACAGAATCAGTCTTCTGCTGGTAAGTAAGGGCTAGCACATTTATATCCACAAGTCAAACATCTCATTTCTAGGCTGTGATGCATGAGGACGGCTGTGCCCGGAGGCTCCCCCATTTGTCTCCATCTGACTCAGTGAAGCATCCTTTGTGCCCCTGTAGTGGGTACATAAAGTCATCTGAATACTGTAGCTATGTATGCCACCAGAGAAGCAAGGATCTATTATTAGCGCAGAAATGACACATATTTCAATTAAAATAGTCTCTGTCTGCTGTCTTCCAGGCTAATTCCACAGAGCCTTCTAATTAGTGATTTTCTGGGATCAGTAGAGGGAGCCACAACTCTTATCTAAGGCTTGCTTTTCTTTGTGGACACAAAGCATTGCTGTGTGACACCCCAAAAGGCGGACGTAACCACCCTCTCTGTCTGGACCGAGGCCCAAGCTGTCTGAGACTGTGCCCCACTACAATTTAAAAATTATAACCAGGATAAGTGTCTCCTTCAAGGTGAGAGTATCATATTTGAAAAGACGAGGGCTGCATTTTAACTCTGGTATTCGAGTATTTTTTATTTTTTTTCCATTGCAGGTGCCTGCTTCTGTTTGAACTACAGACCTGTATTTTACCACAGATTCGGTTTACTTGCAAAGTGTTTCTCAGGTTTGCAGATCAGATTTCTAACGCTGAGTGCATAGTGTATTGCTATATCCCGTGTCCTCCTGAAATGTTATATGCATTTGTTTTAATAGAAAGCTGAAACTCTTTTCCTGGAGTAGACACTATTTCATGGCTCTGAGATCCAGCCGGCCCTTAGACGCTGCACTGTCTAAACCAAGGCAGAAATAAATACTGATCGATAAAGCCGTTTTTTTCCCAGTCCTGACAGTGACGTTTATTTAACAGTTATATCATGCATTAGAATAAGTTTGTTTTTTTGTCTAGCAAGAATGCACCAGTGCTGTGATTATCATCTTAAACGTGTTCGTCAAACACATCATATCTATTTCAGGGTAACTGTAAAACCACAACATGTTTGTTTTATCTTTGTACAGGAAACTTGCTGCTGGCTGTGTCTCCTGCTGCCCCTTCAGCACTTTGTTTTTCATCAAAGGATCCTGAGTCTGGGAGGTCTCTGTGGGCTTCAGTGATGGGCCTCTCTCCCTCTGACACACTGTTTGCCCACATGAGGTAGAGGGAGTTGTAAGATTTATATACCGGTCTGTTCACAGCCCAAATATGACAGATGAAACTCAATATGTGGAAGATGAAATGCTGTGAAAAGAAATGATACAGCGTTGCTTTGGTAGGATACATTTATAGAGGATCTGTGTCTCACCATAACCTTAGACACACCAACACTTACACTGTTCACACACACACACACTTTCATCCTGCAAGCACAGGTGACACAAGAGCACCTAAAGGAGTCTCTATATATACTCCTGGTGGTTTGTCTTTCCTGAGGGCTCTATCACTCCTTCAGCTTTCTGTTTGCAAGATTTCTGTGTATTAAAATGCAGGCAGCAGTGCAGTAGTGTACTTTCAATCAATAAGAAAACATTAACAGTATTGCTATCTCTCTGGGTAGTGAAAGGTGTGTGTAAGTGAAGCCAAATTCATCGTAAAGTAGAATTTCTAATCATTAAATGGAGTGCTCCTTTGGACCGACACCATGAGAGCAGCAGAAGGAGAATAATGTAGTTTAGCCCAGGGCCGGGTGAAATAAGGACGAGGAGGATGGAGGAACAGAAGATGAAGATTACACACAGTTTTGGGGCATCGCTTTGACACATAAAAGATCAGCGAGAACATTCACCACATTTCCAGAAAGTGAAGTTAAGTGCATGCGATAAGAAGATGCAATATTTCAAAGACATGTCAGACACATCAAACAGAAGCTCCCACTTCA